TGAACTCACTTTGTAGCCCAGGCTGGCCTCAAACTCATAGTGATCCTCCTGCCTTAGCTTCCCAAGTGCTGGGATTACAGGTGTGCACCACTAAACCAGTCTTGTACTGCTTTCTTTAAAGATACATATTTTTCTACATTCACAGGTTAAATAGAGACTTGTTAACATGATAAACACAGCCCTTGATGACACAGTTTTGATAGTTTAGATGACTTGCTTTGGACATACATGGACTCATAAATGATTGTATTCATACATGTTGAGTAGTTTAACTATGTATCTTTGTTCTTTCAGTGTGCATTTTCAAAAGTTTTGAACTCCCTGGAGTTTATTTTACATTATAGTTCATTTCTTATGTAAATCTACAGGAGACCTGACAGATGCCAAAACAAAGGAACAGCTGGGATCCAGGCAGCAGGAGGTGGAGTGGCAAACTTACCATGGGATTCTGAAGAAGACAAGGGTCATGGAAAAAACCAAGTGGCTGGATATCAAAGGAAATCATGGTAAGAGCAAAGTCCCAGATATAATAAAGACTAGATCTTTTTTTCATTTAGGAACCTAGGTTCTTCAATTTAAGAATGTAAAATTATAAAATGGGAAATTGTAGCATAACTTTGGACTTACTGAAGGCCACATGATACTGTACAGTTAATAGTATGTGATTTTAAAACTTCAGATGTTGGGGCTGGGGATTTAGCTCAGCAGCACAGTGCCTGCCTGGCAAGTACAAGGTCATGAGTTTGATTCCCGGTACTGGAGAAAAACCAAAAGAAAAAAAAAAACAACACAAAAATACTTCAGGTGTCATTATTGGCCTTTGCAATCAGAGTTGGTATAGCATTTTCTTCTTTATCTGGGAGAAAATCTTCTGCCAAAATTCATTAGGCAAATGTTTGTTTAAAACCTACATTTTGAAGCCAGGTATAGTGGCGCAAGCATGTAATCCTAGCACTCGGGAGGCTGAGGCAGGAGGATCAGAGTTTGAGGCCAGGCTGAAGTACAAAGTGAGTTCAAGGCCAGCCTGAACTGTGTAGCGAAACCCTGTCTCAACAAAGACAAAACAAAACAAACAAACAAAACCCTACATTTTGTTAAGTCAAAGAAGCTAAAGCCATAAATCTTCATACTGGATGATTCTATTTATAGACATTCTAGAAAAGGCAAAACTATAGACAGAGAACAGGTTACAGTTACCAGGAGCAGGGGTGGAGGAAGGGACCGACTACAAGAAGGCATCATGAATGTATCTTAGGGGATGATGACACTGTCCTATACTTTGATTGTGGTCTTGAATATATGACTGTGCATTTGTCAAAATCCATAGAAGTATACACCACCAAAAAAAGAATTTCATTGTATAAACGTTAAAAATTTTCCATAGCACACAAATCCCCCTAGACGTAGGAAGAAAAATGGGTAATTCCTTCCCTTTGGGGGATTATAATTATTATATTAGTAGGGAAATGAATTTTTCTCCAGAAGAGTCCTGAGAAAAGTTTTGTTTTATAAAGGTTGACTTTCTTATTTATTTAATTATTCATTGCTAATATCTATGTATCTATCTGTATTTTTTGAGGTTAGGGAAGTTTTTTTTTAAATAAGAAAGAGAAAGCTCCGGGATTTCTAGGAGGTATCCTGAATGGGGTAGCCCACTGATTTATATTTTTTAAAAGACTATGATTTTAAACAGATAACTGCCTTGTGAAATACATAGCAGTTAGTTTGATAAAACAAAAACAGAAAATGCCCTGATTATAAATAGTTGTTACAAAGCAGCTAGGCATTACAAATTAAACATCACCTATTTGGCTAACAACTTTGTCTGGTATATTTATGTTTCCCTTTCTTCCTGATCTTAATTAGAGGTCTAGATCAAACTCTTTTGCAATATATAGTAAATCTACATATTTTTAAAAGCTTTCCAAACCAAACTACTGACTTCTTCATTTTATGTAATATATATCAAAAAGATTCTTAGGATTAAATAATCTGGGTAGCACTTTGGAGTGCATAATAATGTAATTTGACTTGTACAGGCATAAATCCTTGTGGTATGAGGTTTTTTTGTTTGTTTTTTTTTTTTTTTTTTAGTACGTATTGAGATAAGGAAGGAAGCTAGTTTTGGTTTTTTGTTAAGATCCAGTTATAAAACCAGGTATATAGCTCAGCAGTACAAGTGCCTGCCTGGCAAGTGCGAGGTCCTGAGTTTGATTCCTGGTACCAAAACAACAACAACAACAAAAAAAGTCAAAAGATTCAGTTATAACAGAATTGGTCTCTTATTTAGCAAAAGGATTACATTCATATTAATATTTCTTTTGGCCTATTGGGCTTATAGTTTATTATAAAGTTATTAGAAATATAGTGGATTCCTAGAAATCAAAGGCAATAAACAGTTTTATTTATTGCAGCCAGGTAGTCAAGCTGTATATAGTCATTGTATTTCCAGATAAGTATTCTATGATATCCTAAACCTTACTATTTTGTAATTATTTTCCAACTGAATCTTTTTTTTAAGATTTAAAGAGGCAGGATTTGTCTCTTATATCAAAGTGATCTGCTGGTTTTTGTTTTTGTCTTTTTGAGACAGGGTCTCGCTATGCAGTTCAGGCTGGCCTTGAGCTCACTTTGTAGACCTGGCTGGGCTCGAACTTGCAACAATCCTCCTGCCTCAGCCTCCCGAGTGCTGAGATTACAGGTGTACGCCACCACACCTGGCTGTGATCTGCTGTTTAGAAGCACGTGGCATAAATATATGAAGCAGGCCTGAATTCACTTTTTTTTGGCTTCTAGGATTAGATGACTGAAACAGCAGCAATATTGCAATCTTATGACTTCAACCTAATTTATTTATTTTTTGTTGTTGTTGGTTTTTTTTGGTTTGTTTTTCTTCCGGTACCAGGAATCGAACTCACGACCTTGAGCTTGCCAGGCAGGCGCTGTGCCACTGAGCTAAATCCCCAGCCCCAATTTGTTTTGAATAAAATATAAGAGTACCTATTATTCTCCACTGTACTAGATGCCTTAAAGGTTTCAGATAATCTGAGTTCTACAAAGCTATCAAATTTTTTAAATTACCAATCTAATTGAGTGGCATTCTGCCATTTTAAGTGCATAGAAAAAAATTGTTTCCATTTTTCTTTTTCTTGTAGATGAATGTTTGCTCTTTTTTTCTTTTTAATTAGATATGTACAACATTCCAAGTCTGGAGAGCGTGAAGAATTATTACAGGTACCAAAATGAACAGAAGACAGACCACTAAGTAGAGACTATTATGAGGAGGGTATAGTCAATTCGATGAATGAGTGAAAACATTCTTTAACAGATAAAATTTCTGTTAAAGAACCTTTGGTAATTTTGCAAAGGAAGCTTTCTTTTGTGTGTGTGTGTGTGACAAATTCTGTTCTTTCTATTTGAACATTTTCTTTCTTTTTGCTTCAGATACTTTAAAACGTAGTGTTGCCAGTGGTACTTTTAATATCCACACAGACTTTTTGTTGGCCATTGTAATATCTAGTGGAAGTCACTTAGATCAGAGCTTTCTGGCCACATTGCTGTGCCCACTGGTATTTGAAGGCTGAGATACTGATTCTCTCAGCCTCTGGGATGGCTGCAGGGCTCAGTGACCACCCCTCACTATGTTGTCCCGTGCAAATATCAACATTGTCTTGATATGTGGAGAATGTACAAAGAGCTGGGGAGCTCTGAGTTACAGTACTGATTCTCTAGTGTCAGTGCACTGGCATGATTCTTCTGGTTGTAGTTGTGCTTTCAGTTCTCGGCAGCTTTGTTAATCTTAAGTAACCGGTATAAAAATGTAGATGTCATGGGTGGTTCATGATCCAGTTTAGGGTCTTAAGAAACCTCATACCATAATAAAAATAGTATTTTAAAAAGGGTATTCTCATAACAAAAGGAAGAAAGGGAGAGATTGCAGTTATATGTACCAAATAATAAGATCGGGCAATAGTCCAGTCACATGGAAAGGGCCTGCCTTAGTCACTTACTTACATTGCTGAGACAAAATACATGACATCCAAAATTAAAGAAAGAAAGGTTTATTTTGGCTCACAGTTCATAGAGATTTCAGTCCATAATCGGCTGGCTCCAACGCAGGGGGATGTAGCAGAAGGGCATCGTAGTAGCAGCAGCAGCGGTAGCAGCCTACCTGTCCATTTTATCCCGATCAGGCCACCTGCCATTCAAGTGCTGTACCCACACCCAGGCTGGGCCTTCGCATTATCCATACCCAGAACTATGCTACACCAACCAGTGCACTGATTTAGTACCACACACCCTCAATCCCAGCTCCATATACCCTAGATCCAGCCAACTCTGAGAAGCCCCACCTGTGACCACATGAGACAGTGGGGCACATCTACGTACAAGCCATAACAGGGCCCAAGTGAGTAGAAAACATGCCTGTCTGAACAGTATTCTTTGATGTGGGGATGGTGACATCAATTTGAGGATGACAGGAAAAAGCACTGGTTAATTAACTGAACTGGTGTTATTAGAGTCACTTTAATTTAGAAGTGGAAGTTGTCCTCTTGTGATTATGAAAAAGCAAAAGGTCAGAGATAAAAAACCTTTCACTTTCCTTCTTTTTTTTTTTTTTTTCTTTCTGTCTTTTTGAGACAGGGTCTCACTATGCCGTTCAGGCTGGCCTTGAGCTCACTTTGTAGCCCAGGCTGGTCTTGAACTTACAACGATTCTCCTGCCTCAGCCTCCTGAGTGCTGGGATTACAGGCATGTGCTACCACACCCGGCCACTTTCTATAACTATACTTTTCTTTCTTTTTTTTTTTTTGGCAGTGCTAGGGATTGAACAATAGGGACTCTCTACCACTGAGCTACACCCCCAACCCTTTTTTCTTTTTACTTGGAGACCTCACTAAGGCCTCACTAAGTTGCCTGGCTTGCCCTCAAACTTGTGATCCTCCTGCCTCGGCCTCCCAAGCAGCCAGAATTATAGGCATGCACCACCCCATCACCACTGCTAGCTTTTGTACCTTTGATGGTGACTGTGGACATGGAGCTGGACATTGTCAAAAAGAATTAACAGGATTAACAGGGGTCTGAGTAATTACTCTGAAAGTAACGTGATTGGTCACCTATATATATTTGTTCCTAGTCACCTGAATTTAATAAATGACATTTTGCTAGAGATATCAATATTATAGAAAAATTAAAGTTGCATCTGGATGTTGAAAATGCTAAAGACTAGAATTCAAAAAATGTTAACATTGTATATTTATTTTAACCTGTGCTTTCCAAGTAGCTGCTTTTAAACAGTTGGGTTTTAACGTGTAAAAAATTTAGGAAAAATTTTAATGTGTAAAAATTTAGGAATGTATATAAGATTACAAAATCCTGAGGAATAATTAAAAACAAACAAGAAAAAATATAAATAAAAATTTTCATGTGCAATAAAATTTTATGTGAAATAAAAAATTCATGTGAAATAGAATTTTAAAAAATACTAAGAAGAGAGGCAATAGAACCTGTTGACTTTCTTTAAATTGGGCATGACTAATTTTTGGTATTAATTGTAGTATCTATGATAATATATTTATTTTGTTTATGATATATTTGATGGTTGTTCTTGCTTAAACATGGCTACCTCCTAGCATAATAAGCTTTGTAAGTGGGCTGGGGATTTAGCTCAGCGGCAGAAGTGCCTGCCTGGCAAGCGCAAGGTTGTGAGTTCAGTTCCCGGTACCGGAGAAAAACCAAAAAAAAAAAAAAAAAAAAAAAAAGCTTTGTAAGTTATTTGTAATTTGGTCTGCTCTTTTAAAATTTTTTATTTTTTATTTAGAGACAGGTCTTTCTAAGTCTAGTTGCCCAGGCAGTCTTCCTGGCTCAGCCTTTCAGGGTGCTAGAATTGTAGGCATATGCTTCTGTGCCCAGCTTATTTGTAATTTTGTATATACTGTATACTCTTAGGTAAAACATTATGTAAGACACTTAGATAAAAGATGCTACCCTTCTGGGGTTCTGACATTTGAATAATACAGGTCTGGCCCTACTAGAACCAATACTTTTCTTCTCATTTACTCAAAAACTCAGTGAATGCATGCTTGTACGGCCTTACCCATTCTTTCTTCCTATTCTTCACCATCCAACTATATGGTCACTTTAAGTAATTATTGACACTAAGAGTAATGAGGACTTTCGTTACTAGATATTATTGATAACCATATATGTTATCAATATGTTTTTAGGGAACCAAATCAGATTTACCAACCCAGGTAGATTAACATTTTTCTTCTGACCTGATAAAGTCACCTTTGCAAGTCTTCCTTGTAAATTAAGCCTCTGGTTTTGCTTTAAGAGAACACCTTTTGTATCTCACTACACCAAGACTTCTGCTAGGTATTAAATTATTAAGTGATTGATAAGTACTATGTTACTGGATTCTGATTCATTTAGTTTTGAATATTTAAGCAACTGCCTAAAATAGCTTTCTTTTTTGCTTTATTTGGGGACCTTGTGTTTGGTTATTGATAAAATTATTTTACATGGGTCTTTAGAGACATTTCAAGAACTTTGAAACTTTTAATTAATTAATCCAGTTTACATCTATCTAGTTTATAGTGCTCTGTCAGACCAGTACGTCTTCTTTCCAAAGGGGAAAAAATTGGTGCTATCTTGGGGACGAAATTTAAATTAATTCTGTCTTTTTATGATTGCACTAAAACTATCCTGTCTTGTATTTTTCAGGAAATACTCTGCTGTGCGCAGGGACGGTTCTTTCCATTATGTCCACAGTACTCCCTTTGGCAACTATTCTTTCATCTCAGTTGATGCCTCTCAAGTTCCGGGGCCTAAGAGGCCCTATAATTTCTTTGGAATTTTAGATGAGGTACCACAACAATCTCACTTTCCTTTATAGCTTACCATTTGTTTTTTTTTTTTTTTTCTTGGATGGATCATTTAATTTTATCCATTTATGGATGGATCATTTAAAATTATCCTAGATAAACAAGTTCTTATGTAGCAATGTTCAAGAAAAATTATATTGTGCTTACAAGTATGGCTAAGAGCTATTGGCCACTTCAGCACTATTATTGCTCTTCCTATTCTTATTCCAGAATCCAAAGAAGCATTGCCTCATATTTTATATTTATTCAGAGAACATTTATGAAATATATACCAAGGGTAGCATGTACTTTGAGAGATACAGGGCAAATACCTTTGTGTACCAAATAGTATATTGCTAAATCCTCACAATTGCCAATACTAATTGGTGATCTATAAGGGAAATAACTTTTTTTTCTTTTGATCTTTTTTGACACAGAGTCTCACAGTGCAGTTCAGGCTGGCCTTGAACTCACTTTGTAGCCCAGCCTGGCCTAGAACTTACAGCGATTCTCCTGCCCTCAGCCTGAGTGCTAGGATTATAGGCATGCACCACTATGCCCAGCCCTAAAAGAAGGACAGATTTCAAATGTTTTTTTCATAAGTTTAGGTGAAAACCTAGTGGATTACAACTGTCTGTATAAAGTCACATCTGAGAACTTCTCATTATATCTTGGTATAATAAATGCCAAGTTGTTCTTTAATGAGCACATCCCCCTATACAAAATACATGTCCCTGTATATAAGAGTACAAAGGTGATAAGATAAAGTTCCTGCCCTCTTAGACTACTTAAGAACGGGGTGGGGCATAAGACCCGGACAAAAATAACTATAATAAATAGCAGATTTGCTAAGTACTGAAAGAGGTTCAGAGTTATTTAAAGGTTCAAAGGAGCCTGAAATCAACTGAACAAAATATTTTGAAGTGCATTATGTTATTCTAGGCATTTTATTTAATGTATATTTGTTTCCTAGCTACTACGTACCTTTAGTCAGAGTTGATTAAATTCTATTTCTTAAAATAGTTTTTTTTTTTTTTTTTTTTAGGGTTTTTTTGTTTTGTTTTATTGTTTGCTTTTTTGGTTTTTTTTGGTTTTGATTTTTTTCAGGTACCGGGAACCAAACTCATGACCTTGTGCTTGCCAGGCAGGTGCTGTGCCATTGAGCTAAATCCCCAGCCCCCTTATTGTTTGTTTTTTAAGATAGGTGTTTGCTTTTTGTGCAGGCTGGCCTTGAACTCACTATGTAGCCCAGGCTGGCCGTGAACTCATAGCAATCCTCCTGCCGTAGCCTCCTGATAGGATAGTTTTTTAAAAGGTACAGTTTAAGGATCAGGTATGTACATGGAAATCAACGGTAGTAGTATAAAATTCAGATTTCCTGGTCTTTCCAGACTTGCTGAAGAGGAAGTAGGCCCCAGAAATTTATTGCTGTGAGTACTTGACAGATAATACTAATGCACATTTGTGTGTATGCAAATTATTTTTTAAATCAGCTGTATGATGTGTGACTGACATATAATAAAATAGACTCATTTTAAATGTTTTGAAGTTTGACACATGTGCATATGGTATGACAGTCACCACAATCAAGATGTACAACATTTCCATCACCCTGGAAAGTATAATATATCTTTACGTCCTATAGAATGTATGATTGGTTTTCTACCAGTATAAATTAGTTTTGTTTGCTCTAAGATTTTATGTAAATGAAATCATACAGTATGCATTGTTGGATCTGGCTTCTTCCTTTTTTTTTTTTTTTTAACATACTTTATCATACCTTTCTCTTTAATTTTCCTTTAACCTTGCTTAAAGGTTTGGCTTTTTATGTTCAGCATGGTTATGTTAATCAGTAGTTATTCCCTTTTCATTGCTGAGTGGTATTCCATTCTATAGATATAGTAGAATTTGTTGATAGTTTCTAGTTTTGGGTTACTGTATTATGAGTACAGCTATTTTGAACACTTGGGTACGAGCATTTCTGTGGACGTATTTGTTTGTTTGCTTGTTTGTTTGCTTTTGTTTTTTTTTGTTTTTTTTTTTTTTTGAGACAGAATCTTGCTATGTAGTCCAGGCTGGCCTCAAACTCACTGTGTAGTCCAGGCTGACCTTGAACTCAGGTGATCCTCCAGTGCTCCTGCCTCAGTCTGGAGTGCTGAGATTACAGGTGTGAGCCACCACACCTGGATTTTGTTTTGTTTTGTTTTGATTTTTCTTTTGATAGGGCTTTGGTATGTAGTCCAGGGTGGCCTTGAACTCAGTATGTAGCCCAAGCTGGCCTTGAACTTGCAGTGATACTCCTATGTTACCCTCCCCAGTGCTAGAATTATAAGCATGTGCCACCGTGCTCAGGCTATGGACATACTTTACACATTTTAGTTTTAGAAATTTGTTTTAGAAGTTTAGTTTCAATGTCCTTTTTGTTACAAAGATTACAATCTTTATTAAACAAACCTAAAGATTAGTGATGATTTCTATATTTCCCAATTTCCTTTACCTGTCAAATGGGGATAATACCTGTCCTACTTATTGCAGTTATTTTTAGGATAAAATAAACTATGTGTAATATGTGTGAAAATAGTTTAAATCTTTTATTTTATATTCTTGAGACAGGGTCTCATTATGTAGCTTAGGCTGGTCTCGCATTCACTTTGTAGCCCATGCTGGCCTCGAACTTACAGTGGTCCTCCTGCCTCAGCCATCTAAGTGCTAAGATATACCATACTACCTGGTGTAAACAGTTTGAATCGATCAAGTGTGATGGTGCACGCTTGTAATCCCATCTAGGGAAGCTGAGGCAGTAGCATCGCCATGAGTTCAAGGCCAGCCTAGACTACAAAGTGAGCTCAAGGCCAGCATGAATTGCATGGCAAGACCCTGTCTCAAAAAGACAAAACAAAACAAAAACAAAAACAAAAACTTACACATGTCCATTCATGTCATTAACTTAGCAGGGTATAGGCTCTAGATACAATGTAATTAACACTATAAAACTATAACACTATAAAACTTTTAAAGTTTGTGGTGCCGCACACCTGCAATCCCAGGACCTGGGAGGCTGAGGCAGGAGAATTGTGAGATTGAGACCAGCCTGGGCTACAAAGTGAGCTCAAAGTGGGTCTTGCTATGAACTGCATAGTGAGACCTTGTCTCAAAAAGACACAAACAAACAAACAAAAAAACCTTTAGAGGAGTTATTTAACTTGTTCATATTGAATTTCAGCCTGTACCCTAATTAAAGATCCTTCCATTTTTCTTCTGTTTCAGAAACAGATGCAGGAGCTCTTATTACTAGCCAAAGAAAGTAGTTGGAGCAACCATACAGTTTGGTTTGGACACTTTACAACGTCCACTATGCTTTCTCCATCTCCAGGAATCCAGTCAACAATGAGGTAAAGAAAACTTCCAAAATCAAAACTAATTGTTTTTAGTTGTTTTATTGCCTTGCCTATCTTGCTTTCTGAAAGAGACACTCTTACTACCAAAGTCATGGCAATCACAGTTTGGCATCACAGGCTGTCCTCGTTCATTACTCTGTTTATTTCTCGTTGGTTAGTTCGGCGACAGCGTATTTGTGTGGCCACCTGCATACACTTGGTGGACTGATGCCCGTTTTGCATACTCGTCACTTCCAGGGCACTTTGGAACTTGAAGTGGGAGACTGGAAAGATAACAGAAGGTAAGGGAACTACCCCCAAATAAAGCATATGTACAGAAGCTTGCTGAAACGGTGGTACTTTGCTTATTGATATAATGGGTGGTCCCAGTTAAGGAAAAACTTGGGTATTTCTGTTTTTCTACAATAACTTATGTATCTGGCAATCTTTGTCACTATAAAAAAGCCTTGTGGTAGCAGTACTATCGCCATCACTATGTCATGTTGAACTTTTAAGGAAATAGTTTTAAATTGCATAAGAATTATGGAGGAACTTATTAAAATAAAAGTTTCTAGGCCCTTCCAATAGAGGTTGTATTGGTCTTGATCTATATTGGTGTCTGGATGATACTTGGAGAAGCATTAGGACTAGAAGTGTTATTCTTTTCTTTTTGTGTGTTTGTTTGTTTGAAACAGAGTCTTGCTATTAGTTCAGGCTAGCCTCAAAGTCATGGCAATCCTCCTGCCTCAGTCTCCTGAGTGCTGGGATTACAGGTGTGTGCCGCCATGCTCAGTTTAGAAGTGTTATTGTTTTACTTGTCTTTTAATTGTCTAAAGACAATTTTTTTAATTAAGTTTATTGGTACATTTTAGTTACACGTAATGATCACATTCATCATAGAGAATTTGTACCTGTACATGATATAACTTGATTCTTTTATTTTTCCCTACCCTCTCTTCAACCCACTTCCCCTCCTTATTTATAAAAGAATTTTATATCTAGTTATTGCTATGAGATGTTAGTGATTTAAAATTTTAAATAAATGACATTTGATTTTGTTAAGTTTTAAAGTCTTTCTAATAAAAACTTACTCAGCTGAGTGTGGTAGTATACACTTTTAACCCCAGCCCTCTGGGAGGCTGAGGCAGGAGGATTACCAGTTTGAGCTTAGCCTGGTCAATTTAGTGACATAGCAAGACTGTCTCAAAAAAAAAAAAAAAAATAGGTGGGCGTGGTGGTACACACCTGTAATCACAGCCCTCAGGAGTCTTAGGCAGGAAGATTGCCCTGAGTTCAAGACCAGCCTGGGCTATATAGTGAGTTCAAGACTAGCCTGAACTACCTAGTGAGACCCATCTCCAAAAACTAAAAAATAAAATAACTGACTGGCTGGGGATGTAGCTTAGTGTAAAAATCCTAGATTTAAACCCCAGTCTCCCCACTGTGCCCCCCCCAAAAGAAAAAGTTACTTATCAAAAATATGTAGTGTAATTGAATATATATTTTTTTCTTTTTTAGAGAAGTACTTAAGTGAAATAGTTCATAAAAAAGTACCATCCTATTTTCTATTACTTAATTTATTTAAATCCAGCGCTCTGAAGATATTAGGCCCTCAATATTGGTTGTTGGGCTGCATATGTTATTTATTTTTAACTATTTCCATTAATTAAAAAGCACCTTTACGTCTTGGAAATTACTTCATCATTGTGGTTACCTTTTTAAGAAACTGTAAGAGCTATGCTGAGGCCTGTTGTTGCCTGGCAACTGTAATTACTTTGAGTTAAGACCTATCTATCCATGATGGTGAGGCTGTGGGCTGCCTTATGATGTCTTTTGTGAGATAACCTTCCTAACTCTAGGTCAGCTTCTTTTTTTAAAATTAAGTTTATTGGTACATTTTAGTTATACAGAATGATCACGTTCATCGTAGAGAATTTGTACCTGTACATGATATAACTTGATTCTTTTATTTTTCCCTACCCTCTCTTCAGCCCACTTCCCCTCCTTATTTATAAAAGCTGTGTTTCCATTTTTCCTTCTTTTCTTGTTTTTTTCTTTTCCCTTCCTTCCTTTTCCCCTCAAATGTTAGGTCAGCTTCTTTATTACATCTAAATGATATTGTTACAAACTGTGTTAACTATGGAACCATTTCTTCTCTTTCTTTTTCCACCTGCTTTTTTGTATTACAGCTTTTGGAGTTTTATTGAAAGGACCTAACCTTTACCTGTCATTATAAACATTTTAAGTTACAATAGAAGATTTTGAAACAGAGTATTGATATTATCAGGCTGAACCTTGTAATGGATAAATCCAGAAATACCAGTGTTAACATAATAAACGTTTATTTTTCATTCCTGTGAGTCTAGGGCAACTGTATTGCATGGATGACCCAGGAATTCCAGTTTCCCTTATCCTATAATACCACTGTAACACACCCATTCCAGAGCAGAGAAGAGAGCACATCACACTGGCTCTTAAATTCTTTGGATCAAAAGTGTGGTACATATCACTTCTGCTCAGACCTTTTGGCTAGAATAAGTCACGTGGCCCCAACTTAATGCCAAGGAGACTGGGAAATGCTGGAAAGCACATGGAGCATTTGGTGAACATTACTGTTTCTGTCAGAATTAATAATTTCTTTGCTCGGGAGGCTGAGGCAGGAGGATCACTGCAAGTGTGAGGCCATCCTGGGCTACATAGTGAACTCAAGGCCAGCCTGAACTGCATAGCTAGACCCTGTCTTAAAAAAGCAATTAATTGGGCCAGGGATATAGTTTAGGGGCACAAGTGCCTGCCTGGCAAGTGCAAGGTCCTGAGTTCAATTCCCAATACAAAAAAACCTGATTAATTAATTAATTGCCTCAGTCAGAGCCCCGTAAGTATGTCAAATGAGAGGATCAAGTGATGGGGTAAGGACAGAAAAACGAAGAAACAATATTTTTTCCTCTGCTTTTTTTTTTTTAACCTTTGTTTTTTGTTCCGGGAATCGAACTCAGGATCTTGTGCTTGCCAGGCAGCCTCTTATGCTGCTGAGCTGTATCTCTGGCCCTTTTCCTCTGTATTCATTTTTTTACTTATTTATTTTTTTTGTACCAGGAATTGAACTCATGACCTTGCACTTGCCAGGCAGGCACTTGTGCCACTGAGCTATATCCCCGACTTGCCTCTGTATTCAAATCCATTATGTAAAGTCTTTTTTTTTTACATTTGTTGTATTACTTTCATGCCCTTGTGACTAAATTACTTTTCTGTCTTCTGGTGTCTAGGTACCGGATCTTTGCTTTTGATCATGACCTCTTCAGCTTTGCAGATTTGACCTTTGGAAAGTGGCCTGTGGTTCTTATCACCAATCCTAAATCCCTCCTCTATAGCTGTGCTAAACACGAACCTTTAGAAAGACTCCTTCACTCAACACATATCAGGTATGTTGTCATTTTTTAGAATTTAGTTTCAGTTTGATATTGATGGAGAATATGTAATTGTAAAAATGATTGTAAATCCTTGTAAAAATGATACTGAAGGAGAATAACTCCCATGTAAAAGCTATAAGATGTCCCACTTCAGCTTTCTCAACAACCTAAACCTGAAAGGTAAATTGCTTACTGCTTCATTCCCATTCAAAAAGTATAGACTTGTTTGTTTTTTTGAGATAGAGTCTCATTATGTAGTTCAAGCCAGCCCTGAACTCATTGTGTAGTCCAAGCTGGCCTTGACCTCATGGCTACCCTGCCTCAGCCTCCCAGGTGCTGAAATTACTGGCGTGTGCCACCACATCCAGCTAAAATGTATAGACTTTTTAAGCTGATGAAATTTTTAACATTATGCAAAAGCCTATTATCTTTTTTTTTTTTTCCTTGAAACACTGTCTCACTATGTAGTTCAGGCTGGCCTTGAACTATGTAGCCCATGTTGGCCTCAAATGTGCAGTGATCCTCTTACCTCAGCCTCCCAAGTACTGGGCTTATCCCTGGTTTAGAAGCCCATTATTATTGTTGTTATTTCTTTTTGTTGTACTGGGGATCTAACTAAAGGTTTTATGCATGTTAGGCAAGAGCGGTTCCACTGAGCTACACCCCCAGGTCACAGCTTTCTTATTTGCATGTTTTTACATTGTTATAGTCATAATACGCATATTCCCCTCTGAAATACTTTCAAAATTTTATATCTTGTCTCAGAAATATTTTTACATATTACTACATAGCCTTGCAAAAAGACCAAAGCTATGAGGTATGATTGAAATATATGGTGAAAGTATAAGTTAAAAAATTTATTACACTAAAAGACATATTGCCATTAATCTCCCTCAAAATATTCTTGCTTCAGATACAATTGTTCCATCATTTTTTGTTTGTTTGTTTTAATTTTTTGAGATAGTGTCTCACTATGTAGTGCAGGCTGGCCTTGAACTCACTATGTAGCCCAGGCTGGCCTTGAACTCACAGTGATCCTCCTGCCTCAGCCTCCCAAGTGCTGAGATTACAGGTGTGTGCCAACATGTCCAATTATTTCATCATTTTTGCCATTTTCTTCTCTGGGCCTTTTGTTTATTTGTTTGTTTTTTGTTGTTCTTTGAGACAGGATCTCACTATGTAGTTCAGGCAGGCCTTAAACTCACTATGTAGCCCAGGTTGGCCTAGAACTCATGACAGTCCTCCTGCCTCATCCTTCCAAGTGCTGGAATTACAGGCATGTGCCACTATGCCCAGCATTTTTGTCACTTTCTGAAGCGATTCCTGAATTCTCTTTTGTGAGTGTCTTTACGAAGTGTGTTCGCAAATACAGTGACTGCTACTGCTGAATGCCACCCAACAGAAATGCAGGCCTGTAAAAACATCACAGTGTGTCCGCATTCACCTTTTTTACCAAATCTTGTGCTGTTGACTTCTGGCTCTTCCCCAAAGTTAAAATGACCTTGAAAGGTAAAGGTTTTGAATTGATTCAAGACAGTGTCAGGCAGCCACGGACCTGATTTAGTTTAGGCTCGCCTTGAACTCACTATGTGTCCCAGGCTGCCTCAGACTCTCACCAATCCTCTTGCCTCAGCCTCCTGAGAGCTGGGGTTTTGGGTGTGTGCCACCACGCCAAGTTTCACTGTAGTCATTGATGACAAGTCCTTGCTTGTACTTTTTTGGGGGTATATACCCAGAAGTGGAATTGCTAAATCATATGGTGATTTAATTTTTAAAGAGCTGCCATGCTGTTTTTTATGATGGCCACACCATTTTATGTTCCCACCCACCAGCAGTGTACCAGGTATCCAGTTACTTTTAAAATAAAATGGAGGGGCTGGGGATTTAGCTTAGTGGCACAGCGCCTGCCTGGCAAGCACGAGGTTGTGAGTTCGATTCCTGGTACTGGGGGGGAAAAAAAAAAAAACTAAAATAAAATGGATACTGTTATGATGTTACCAAGCAATATGAGTGCAATATTTCCAGCTCTCCGATTATTACTAGGGTATTATAATTTTTAAAAATATTTAGTAATTAATCTGAAAAAATGGTAACAAGCTGTTTATTGATTAATTGATTGCAGTACTGGGGACTGAATACAAGGCCTCTACACTGAGCTATAGCCACTATCCACCTTTTTCCTTTTATTTTTTTGAGACAGGGTCTTGCTAAGTGGTTAAATCACCCAGGCTGGGCTTGCACTTGTGATCCTCATGCCTCAGCCTCCCAGGGTGCTGGGATTACTGGTATGGGCCACCACACCCAGTTTATATTTATTCTTCTGATTACTACTGAAGTGGCACACATCTGTCAGTCCATTTTTTTGATAGGAGCTGGATAGCAGGGATAGGCGCTATAATCTCTGTACAGCCCTATAAAAACAAGTTATATCATGTACAGGTACAAATTCTCTTTGATGAATCTGATTGTTATGTATATCTAAAATGTACCAATAAAATCTAATTTTTAAAAAAAAGTCCTTGTAGACCAGCCCTGGATATGATCCTTTTCTGGGCAAATATATTTGGAACCAAATGAGTAAATGATGGGCTTGGCATTAAATTAACAAAATGAGGTATCTGCTTGTATTTTCTTCCTAAGAGAAAAACTAGAACTTCAGACATTTCTTTAGAAAGAACTTTGAATGTACACTAGATGGTTTTGTCAAAAGAAACTGATTTTCCTTTCTAAAAAGTAAAAGCATATTTCCTAATTCCTCAGCCACTCATGTTCCCCAAATTGTACAACCCTAAAAGCTACCATTTAGAAAGAACCCGCTGTCTGAGTAATTCCTACAATGTGATGGTTCTGCCTATACTTAGATATTTTCGTAATAGTATTATTGTCCTTTTAAAAAATAATGACAAATACCTAAAGCTGTGCATTTTATATGTGCTTTTGTTTTAGAGTCTTGGCCTTTTCCTTGTCCTCTATTACTTCTGTCACTGTTAAGATTGATGGAGTTAATTTAGGGCAGGCTGTTCATTTGTCTGGTCCTATTTTCATACTGAAGTGGAACCCCAGAAACTATAGTAATGGCACACATAACATAGAAGTAATTGTCCAGGTAAGTTAATTTTTAATTTACTATGTGGATGATTAGATTGTTGCCATAATGAACTCTGATTTGGGATTTTTTGTTTTTGTGCTCGGTTGGTAAGTACCTAAGTAAAATGTTTGAATACATTACATTTAGTATATTCTGAAAGTAGGCACTTAGGAAAAATTCTACTGTTCGATTAATAGCTGGGCACAGGATAAGAGTTAATAAATGACTACTGGCCTCTGTCCTCCTTTGTTTAGTCTCGGGGAATCATCCTCTTTTTTTTTCTGACTTTGGCCAGATTCTTTTAATAGTGGGGACAAACTCCCCACTATATCTCCACGCATTTGTGTATCCAAGTGTTTGATTGCTGTGTCTAAGTGTAGGGAAATTGAAAGTTCTAGGACCCAGAATTTCGAGGCTTCAAAAGAACTTTTTTTGGGGGGAATATGTGTTATGAAATATGCAGTAACAGTGTCCCTGTCCTTTTTCTGCTTCAATTTGGGGCATTTAATTCATTAACACCTGCCAAAGTAGAAATGGATAATTATTACCAAAATAGGGCAGTTTCCTCAAACTCTTCAGGATATAAGCAGTGCTTAGAAATTAGTTTCTTAAAAGTAAATCTGTCAGTTTCTTCAATATGATGATTTTATGACAGCTTTAACTATTAAATCTTTTTTTTTTTTGCCCCGGAAATTGAACTCAGGACTTTGCGCTTGCCAGGCAGGCACTTGTGCCGCTGAGTTATCTCCCCGGGCCCTAATCTTTAAATGTTAATTCTCAATTTGAAATTCAAATAGCCCTTCAGAAAACACATAATTATATTCATTTTATGTGCCTCCTACACACACATACACACACACACACACACACACACACACATACACAAACACACAAATACACAGAGAAAACAGATCCTACAGGTAGGAATTATTTATTGAGCTTTTTTTAAGGAGATGCCAGACAGAGTTTTGTGTTGTTGTTGTTTTGGGTTTTTTTTTTGTCTTGTCTTGTTTTGGTTCCTTTGCTATGTAGCTCAGGATGGCCTTGAACTTACAAGTTGGAGGCTGGCCTCCAACTTGTGGTGATCCTCCTGCCTCCGACTCTTGAGTAGAATTTTTTTATGTAATCCATGTGACAATCCTATGCAGTGTAGGGTTGTGATATAGTTTTATCCTTAGTTCATAGAGGAAAATTTGCATATCTACACAAGAAAAGGCACTTTGCTACCCATCTTTGGAGCTTTCTGCATAGGAGACAAAACCAGGAGGATGCAGAAGGAGGCATGACTGGACTGAACTGTTAATGTCTTTCATATTAGTTGGATGATTTTAAAGAGATTTTAAGGTACTTGTAACCTATGAAGCAGTCATAAGAAACTTTCTCATTATGGGAATGGGGAACTCTCATATGTTATTGCCCCTGAATCCAATGTATTATTTTCTCAATAAGATATATAGCTTCTATAGTTTTGTGCAGAAAAACCATAGCTCACTTTCCTTGAAACATTTCTGGTTGCTTAGTTGAATCCTTAGCAAAAGTGTAAAATCACATACTTTGCACATGGTTAACATTTCTTACAACATTATCGAGGTATAATTTGCAAACAGTGAACTCCACATATTAAAGTGTACAATTTGATGAGTTTTGACATATGCATACATCCATGAAACCATTGCCACAATCTAATGATGGATTTCCTTCAAATGTCTCCTAGGGCCCTTTTGTGATCTGCCTGCCTTTCATCCTCATCCCCAGGCAACCACTGATTTGTTTCCTATATGCATAACTTTAAAATTACTCTGTTAAAAATTAAATAGGGAGCCTGATCCCCTCATTCATTAATAGAAAAGTTCTATCCTTTTATATACAGTACACTATACATCGGTCTGGTTTAAAAACTAAAAATCTGCAAGAGAACACATCCAACATTTTTCCTACTCATTATATTTATTGAATATTCATGGGTTCCTGGCATCCTAAATTGTTAGACCAATCCTCAGTGTAGCTCTTGTACTACTAACATCACCATTACCTGAGAACTTGCTAGAAATGTAAATTCTCAGGTCTGGTCCCAAACCTACAGAATCTAAAACTCTGGAGATAGGACCCCACACTTGAACAGTCTCCACAAAGAAAAAAAATTTTTTTTGAGACAGAGTCTTGCTATGTGGTTCAGGCTGGCCTGGAACTCACTATGTAGCCCAGGCTGGCCTTAAACTTGTGGCAGTCCTCCTGCCTCAGCCTCCCAAGTGCTAAGATCACAGGCATGCACCACCACACCTGGCCTTCCACAAAATTCTGATGTACATTAAAATTTGAGAATGAGTAGTTTGGGTTATTGTGCTTACTTTGCCAAGAGACAATAGATAGATTTCTAGGCTAGAATCTAGAAATCTATCTTTCAACTAAAGGAAAATCTCTACTTTGAACTGATCATTTAAGATAAATATATTTTGAGCAATGAATGTTTGACAAAAACAGCAATATAAGTTCTTGTTATTTTAAAAGTTTTGTGCAGAAAAACTTATAAAATATACAAAAGAGATATACTATAATAAATCCATTAGCAAATCCCAAATCAGAAAGTTCATCAGCAAATCTCACGACCTATTTCATCTATGCTCCTGTCTACTTCTCCCCTCCCTGCACCAAGATGTCATTTCATCTATAAATGTTAGACTCACTAACAATAAAAACTATTTACAAAAAACCAACCATGATACCATATTACACCAGGCAAGTTATAGGAATTTCTTAATATCAAACTATACAGCTAACATTCAGTTTTTCTAATTTATCACATCTATTTGCATTTGGTTGGTTCTAACCAGAATCCAAATGGAGCCCAAATATTGCAGTTAGATGACTTGTCTCATCTCTTTTACTTAGTAGGTTCCTTTCCCTATACTCCTCTTTCCTGCCTATAATACAAGTGGGGTGGTCAAATAATATTGTGAAGGTTTAAATTTTTAAAAATTATTACAGTAAAAGACACTCATTATCCTTCTCAGAATGCTCAAAATATGGCCCCTCTCTTTGAACACATTTATGCCATTGTTGTTAGAATTCTGTTTTTTACTGTAATAAGTCTTATTTTAAACATTGTATTTTTCAGTCACTACTTGTATTTGGTTTTGAAACTGGGTATTTTGTACTATAGAATTTTCTGCATTCTGGATTTTTTTGCTGTTTACATCCCTGTGGTATCATTTAACATGTTCCTCTCCCCACCCCCAATAGTAGTTTGATTTTGCAGTTTGATCAGATATGAGCTTGTTTTCTGACAAGACTGCTTCATCTGATGTTTAATGCTTTTATTAGGATGTTCATAATATCTTGTTGTATTTCTTTTTGGAAGAATATATTCAAATATTGGTGAACTCAGGTGTTGGTAGCCTTATCTAATGGTGAACTAGAGACCAAGTGGGTTGGTTAAATAACCAACTTGGGATGGATTAGGGGGTAGGGGTAGGGGTAGGGAAGGATCCTGATTTATACCAGTTTTCATAGGGTAAATATTCCTGCCATCACTGATTTTAAGGTACCAACACAATGCTAATTCCTGAGAATTTCAAAATTGGCCTGGGGGTGCAGTTCAAGCCAGCTCCAGAACACTGCTAATTTATTCATCCGTCAGCTTTTCATCTAAGAGTTTTTAGCAGCCATTGATTATCTTTGCCTAGATTTATTTTTTTCATTAGAGTTATAAAATGGTGATATTCAAATTATCTCTCCATAAAATAGGGTTATTAAAGTAGTCCTATAAAGAACCATTTTCCCTCATCTTTTTGGTACCCAGATATGGAATTCATATAGGAAAAGCATGACAAATTTTTTTTTTTTGAGACAGGATTTCACTGTGCAGTTCAGGCTGGCCTTGAACTCACTTTGTAGCCCTGGCTGGCCTTGAACTCACCGCAATCCTCCTGACTCAGCCTCCCAAGTGCCGGGATTACAGGCATGTACCACCACTCCAGCCAACAAAGTCTTGATGTTTTCCTTATTTTCCCCCTTTCTAAGCAAAAAAAAAATTTTTTTGTTAGACAGGGTCTTGCTATACAGTTCAAGCTGGCCTTGAACTCACTATGTATCTCAGGCTGGCCTCAAATTTACAGCAATCCTCTTGCTTCAGCCTCCTCAGTGCAGGGATTACAGGCAGGTACCAGTGTGCCAGGCCCTACGCCAGTTTTTAAAATCATCTACCAAGATCTTAGCATCCACCAAGCAAACACTAATACCTAAATATACTGTTTTACAAAAACAGAGGATACCAAATGATCATTTAATTTTAGTATCATTATAAATTCAAAGTTCTTTTTTTGTTTGTTTGCTTATTTTAGTGCTAGGGATTAAACTCAGGACCTTTGTACTGAGCTATATCCTCTACCCTTTTTTATTTTTTATTTTGAGTTAGGGTCTCTCTTAAGTCATTAACTTGCCCAGTTGGGGCTCAAACTTGTGATCCTCCTGTTTTAGCCTCCCAGAGTGCTAGGATTGTGCTAGGATTACAGGAGTGTGCCACCATGCTCAGTCTGAATTCAAGGTTTTAAAAAACATGTATTTGAAAGGGCACCTGGGGTATGGGAAAAGGAAGGGAAAGAAGGGGAAATTATGTAAGTATGTATATACGGGATAGCTAACACAGTTGTACTACTGTCTGATACTGCTCTACAGAATGGAACAGTTAATGATTACTTGTTTGATCAGTCTTGTATGTCTCTATTTGTTTTCCTGAGAAACCACTTCGAAGATATCAATAAGTAATACAGCAACCACGGTTAATTTCCTACAACTTTGTCTATAACTCTGTTTTGTATTATTCTTATGCTATTTTGTAAATGGATGTCTGTTACTATGTTTTCCTTCTTTTATTTTTTAAAATAAAAAACCATGTATTTGATATATTTCAATCTATTACATTTATTCCTTTTGATTCTCTAATTGTTCTTTCTTCAACTATTAGGAGCCTCTTCATGTTGATCACTGAATCCATTGACATGTTACCAATAATCTTCATTAGTTTTTTAACTTTCTGGTATGACAAGATGCCAAGGTTTTCTCTTGCATTTCTTTTTGTGTGTGTGTATGCATTTCTTTTTTTTTTTTTGTACCAGGAATCAAACTCAGGACCTTGCACTTGCCAGGCAGGCGCTTTTGCCGTTGAGCTAAATCCCCAGCCCCATGTATATGCATTTCTTATTTGAGAACTGGAATCAGCCATTTCTCTAAAGAGCACTGTTTTGTCGTAATGAGATTTTGTGGTTTTTTTGCTTTTTGGTTCTTTGAGACAAGGTTCCACTATTTAGTTCAGGCCCCAAAACTCGTGGCAACCCTCCTGCCTAGGCCTGCTGAATGCTGGGATTACAGGTGTGCACTGCCACACCCAGTGAGAAATGGTGTTTTGAGACTATAATCACTTGCATCACTAGCTCATTACTATTAGGTTTATTATTTCTAGGCCTTTTCAGTGAACAGAGGGAAATGATTTTTTTAAAGAAAAAATACATTATGAGTGTGTACTGATATGTCTAGTTGAAATCTAGAATTAGAGAAGTCAAAAAAAGTGCTGTCAGTAGTACTTATAGGGGGCTGGGTGTGTTGCTCAGCCTCGAGCACTCACCTAGCACATTTGAGAGCCTGGGTTCAGTGTTCAATGCCAGGAAAAAAATGTACTCTTAGGGAAAATCAGAAGGAAGTGAAAAGATGTGAGCTATTCAGTGGTAATTGACAAAGGTTACTGGAAACTTAGCCTCATGTATAACTTGGAACATTATGCATATTTAAATATTCATGGAGCGTCTCTGTTGTGCTCGTAACTAGGATTCTGCTGGAAGAAGTAAGAATGTTCATCACATATTTTCTGTTCAAGAGAATATGCATCTTATGTTTGATCCCCTGGCATCATTCATTCTCCTGACTGACTTCTGCACTGTGGTGTGTATATTCAATTGCATGTTACCTGTGTTTTCACTAGATTTGCTAAATGTAAAGGTCTACTAATACAGTCATGTGACAAGAAGCTGAACCTTATACAGTTTAGTTATTTGTCTAGAAATATAAGATGCTTCCAAGTTGATCTGAAGTAGAAGAAGCAGAGGTTTGGACAAGTCATTTGTGACCTTGTTTTAACCAATGCTGTAAAACCAGAGGCTGACTTGGATTAAGGCGGCTCCCCAGATTTCCCTCCTCAGAGTCAGTAATTTGGTAGAACAGCTAACAGAACTCAGGAAAACAGTTTACATATAGATTACTGGCTTTTTTCATTTGTTTGTGTGGTTTTTTTGAGATAGGGTCTCACTATGTAGTTCAAACTGGCCTTGAACTCACAATGTAGTTCAGTCTGGCTTTGAATTTGGGGCAGTACTCCTGTCTCAGCCTCCTAAATGTTGGGGTTACAGGCATGTCCCATCAGGTCTAGCTAAATTACTGGCTTTTATATAGAACGATACAACTCAGGAATGTCTAATGGAAGAGAGGCCAGAGGTATGAGAGTTGCCGTGCACTTCATGCCCACCCAGACATAAGCCACTCTCCTAGGACCTGCCCATATGCACCAAGAGGGAAGCTCTGTGAACTCCTGCAGTTAGGGTTGTATAGAGGCTTCATTATAGAGGTATTCTTGGTTACTAAATCTTTGGCCACAGGGATTAAAATCCTTTAGGCTAAAGGGATTGGAGGTGGGGAGAGGGGGTGTGTAGGTGAAACTTCCAGCCATCTGATCACGTGGTCATTTCCCTGAGCATCCAACCCCAATCCTTCAGGGCTTTCCAAAAGTCACTTTATTAACAGGAACTCAAGTGTGGTTGAAAGGGGCTTGTTATTACTAACAGAAGATACTTCTTTTACCATTACTCCAGCGCGGTTTCAGGAAGCAAAACCCAAATACTATAACAATACTGTTACCACTTAGAAAATTACAGGGGCTCTAGGAGCTATGGCCAGGAGCTGAAGATGAAGATAGATAGGTAGGTAGGTGGATAGATAGATAGATAGATAGATAGATAGATAGATAGATAGATAGATAGATAGAAAATCTTCTTGTGTCACAGATGCCATTTCCACTTTTGTTAATGGGCCCAGTGTAAAAGCCTTCATTGCCAGGCATGGTGGTGCACGCTGATAATCCCAGCACTGGGGAGGCTGAGGCTGGAGGATCACTGTGAGTTTGACGCCAGCCTGGGCTACATAGTGAGTTCCAGGCCAGCCTGAACTACATAGCGAGACTCTATCTCAAAAAGTTAAAAAATAAATAAATAAAAGCCTGAATTGGAGCTGTGCCCGTGTATCTGTTTGCACATTAACATCTCTTTCTGTGCAGGCCCGGGTCCTTTTTGTGCTGATTGTGCTGATTCAGCTCTCCATTCTCATTACGTTTAGGTATCTAGCATATCCAGAGCTTAAAGGTTAGTCATGGTTCCTTTTAAAATATCACACAATGTCCTCACTATGACTAGGTGATGAATAATGATATAAGTTGTCTTAACCTGAGCTCTGTGAGGCACATTCTTCAAACTCACATACTTTCTGTATAATATACCCCCACCCCCCACACACACACACACATACTCATGCCAGTACTGAGCTTTGAACCTGTGCTGGGCAAGCACTCTGCCACAAGCTATATATCCCTTTTTATCTTATTTGAGACAGGATCTTGCTAAATTGCCCAGGCTGGGCTTATACTTGTGATCTTCCTGCCTCAGCCTCCTAAGTAGCTAAGATTACAGGTATGCCACTACACTTATTTCATAATACTGTTATCTTGAATAGGAAAAAAAAGTCTTTGTTTTTGTTGCTACATGGCAGTAAAATAAGGCTCAATCAAAATGTGAGAAAGATTACAGTAAAGGGCAAAATGACTGTTATAATCTATGTACCTATTTAATGTAATTTTATATATGAAATACTTTTTAAAACCCTATTCAAATAAATATAAGGCACTAAACAAAACCTGACAAAATTTAAATGGTACATATATAATTTTGAATTATATGCACAGAACAGGCTATAGAGACATTGTAGGAAGGTGATTTTGCCAGGGTGCCCCCTTTCTCCTAACATGAGTCTGTCTTTTTATGTGTCCCTGACTATCTGCCAACCTACAGAGTTGTCTACAGATACCTGGAGGTATAGTAGTGAATCATTATGGTTAATTAATAATTATTAATATGTAGCCTCTTTTAGAGGAATATAAATTTTAAAGCTGGGGCAGTGAATGGAGAGGGCCCTAACTCCTAACCAGATTCCTTCCTACTCTTCTTCATTTTTTCTTGAGAGCATCTCTTACTATAGAAAAACACTGAATGTACACAAAAGAGAATAGTGTAACGGACCCTAAATAGTTACTCAGCTTTAACAATTACCGGCATTCCGGGAATTGTGTTTTGCCTAGCCCCTGCCCTCATTTTTATGGGAATATCTTAAATCCCAAGTACTATGTGACTATAAAAGTTGTTTTACTTCTCAATTGGGTAAAATAACTTCTTAAAAACACAATCAGAATGCCACTAACATACCTACAAAACTGACTAATAATTCCTTAATATCCAATATCTGAACTTGTTCAGTTTTCTTCACTTATCTCAGAAAATGTCTTCCTAGAGCCAACTTGTTTGAATTAGGGTTCAAACAAAAGTCCACATTTTACATTTGGTTGCTACACCTTATAAATCTCTCTCAATCTATGCTGCTTCTCCCACCTTTAAAAACCATGTTGCTGTGTGATGATAGATCTAATAATAGAAAGCCTTGCAGTTCTTCATGAATATGAGAAACCCATATATATAAGAATAATTATATACATGCCTTTTTGTCCATTTGTATATAAAATGTCTCACAAGTAAACCATTGCTTTGAACTTTCTACCCTCTGTAATTCTAAATTGGCTGACCGGGATTCTGAATGTAAAGAGGTGTCATCTACATAGTTGCCATGTAATAAAGGGTTTGCTGAATATAGAGTAGGTAGCCTATCAAAGTCTTATAAAATATGATATTAAGAAGTTAAATTTCACATGCGTTCATTAGTTTTTTGTGACTTTATCCTGTTTAGAACCTCCAGGATTTATAAATCTGACTTCATTTTCCCTTCATGTCTTGAGCAAAATAGACATCTTCTACTATTCCGTATTATTGCTGACCTCTTATACTGTGCTGGGTGAGTAGATTAATAAATTTGAAATTGTGGAGAATTCTACTAAACAATATATGAAGAATTTTGATAACAGAATAACTTAGACATTAGAGGTATAATAAATGGCACGTGACTTTCATAAATTATTCCCTGGTGTATGGTTTTGGGAAATAAAATAAAATTATTCCTTACATGTTTAAAAGACATTTAGAGGAGGAGAAGGGTTGTAGGGAGGGGAAGGAAATGGGAAAGAAAAAGAAGAAAGATATATCATGTATGGATACAGACTTCCTATGATGAATGTGACCATTATGTATACCTAAAATGTACTCAAGAAATTAAAATTTAAAAAAGAGACAGTAAACACCAAGTTAGAAGTCTTTTTTTTTTTTTCTTTTTGAGACAGAGTGCAGTTCAGGCTGGCCTTGAACTTGCAGTGATCTTCCTGCCTCAGCCTCCTGAGTGTTGGGATGTAGGCATGCACCACCATGGCTGGCATTTCTTCCTTTCTTCCTTCCTGTCTTTCTTTCTTTCTTTCATGTTTTCTTTCCTTTTTTTTTGAGATAAGAGTTTACTATATAATACAGGCTGGCCTTGAACTCACTATGGAACCCTGGCCTTGAACTCATCCTCAGCTGCCTGAGTGCTAGGATTACAGGTGTGTGCCACCTCACCTAGCTTAGTCAACACCAAGTTAACATAAGGGTGCTGAGAAGATTAAAGAATTATTAGATAGAAACATAATAGAAGTCAGGAGTGGTGGCACAAGCTTGTAATCCCAGCACTCTGGAGGCTGAGGCAGGAGGATCATTGTGAGTTCGAGACCAGCCTGGGCTACAAAGTGAGCTTAAGGCCAACCTGAACTGCATAGTGAGAACCTGTCTCAAAAAGACCAAAAAAAAGAAAAAAAAGAAACATAGTAGAAGATTGAATTTCAGTTTAAATGCTACTCCTCAAAGCAACCTTCTTGGACTGCCTTAAAGTTTTACCTTCTATTTCATCACATTTTTATTTTTTTCATTTTGTTTATCAAAATTTAAGACTACTTCTATGTTTGTTATACTTCCTTATTATCAATTGATATCTTGTCTCTCGTTTACCTTTCTGCCCAGAACTAAGCACAACCTTAGTCCATAGTTTAATAAATATTTAGTGATGTGCATCTCTTAAAAATGTGTATCAAAAATGAGAGAAACTGAGGTAAGCTGTGAGTTCAGGCATATCTGAGATTGTCTGTTGGACAGATGATTATACCTAGTACTTACGAAGTCACTTAGCCAGCTGTGGAAGCAGCAATTACAGCAAGTTCTTTTAGGCTTTTGCTCAGTTTCTTCAGAGACTAAAAGCCAACAAGGAGTAGGTTAGTCTATTTGCTGCCTAGTCTTAGTTTTTGTTTTACACATTTGGACTTCACTCATTTAGTGACTTGCACCAGAGAATGAACTAAAAATATGACACTACATTATCATATGACAGGCCATAGCATATGGCCTTTGGAGGTAAGTTCTCTTGTTAGAAGTTGAAGATGTTTGTGACACTTGTTTTACAGTAGGGGTCAAAGCAAATAATTTGGTTCCTGGGCTGGGAAAAAAAAGTTAAAGAGGCAGAAGCTGTTCCATTCAAAAAGTTGAAACTAAGGGAGTTTTTATAATGTATATATAAGAAAATTGCCTATGATTTTTTAAAGAGAGTAAGTATTTGCATTTTGAGAGAGGAAGTCTGACTGCCTCTTACTAGTCTTGACAATATAGTACTTCAAGAAACCCAGACACTGAGAAGGGGCAGTAAGAAATAATAGAAAGGAAAGAAAATTCAGCATGATGTTCTAGTTGAAAAATTTAAAAAGCAATTTAAAGTGTTCGTGTTAACACTGATTCTGTAGTTGATGTAAAAGCACAGGTATTCCCCATTTAACCACCTACCTGGTTAATGACTGTTCAGAATTAATGACTGAAGTGTACTGTTTGGACTTACAACCTGCCGCTTGGACTTAGGACCTATTTTTTTTTTTTTTTGTACAGTTCTGTAAATCTGTTGATAGAGCTTCAATGTCTTTTTTTGGTACAGTATACTTTGTTTATACAGTACTATAATTTTTGTTGATTGAACTGTACAGTACAGTACTGTAGTTTTGTGTTGTTATACATTACACTACTACATATAAAAGTTAAGCAAATAAAAGCCAAGTCATCAAGCTGGAGTTTCCTTTGACCATTTCTTTGTTCTTAATATTGTAATATACATATTCTATATAATTCTTCATTTAACGACCTAGTCACAAGAACAGAACTCAGTCATTAAGCAAGGAATGTCTGTAATTAATGACTGTAGATAAGTAAGAAAAGTTACAATACATTCCTTATATTAGTAAGAAAGAGAAGTACATGAGTACTTTTTTGTTTTGTTTCGTGTTTTGTTTCTGTTTTGAGACATAGTCTCTATGTAGTTTAGGCTGGTCTTGAACTCAGTGTGTAGAACTAGCTGGCCTCAAATTCACGGCAGTCCTCCTGCCTCAGCCTCCCAAGTGCTGGAATTATAGGCATGCACAACCATGCCTGGCCTCATGAGTGCATCATCATCAAAGTAGTTGGAGCTTTATTGCTTTAAGGAGTAAATCTCAGTTATCTCAAAAATTAGCTTCAGTAGAGTACCACTGTGTTTTAAGGAAATACTAAAACATTACATTGAGGTTATTATTGCAAAAGACTCTTTAAAATTTTATGAGTGTAAGCGCAAGGTCGTGAGTTCGGTTCCCGGTACCGGAGAAAAACCAAAAACCAAAAAAAAAAAAAAAAAAATTTATGAGTGTGATGCGGCCTGTTTTTGGAATCTACAAACTGCATATCTTTAGGTAGAGTATGTAATTGGACAGTGTCAAAATCAAGAAAAACATGGAGTACACAGGATATCCAGTGCAACATAGAGATTAGCAAGGAAAAAGTGCTATAAAGTGAAATGCTTACAGATGATTAGTCTTCATTATGCCTAGAAATGAATTTCTGATATATTAATCAAAGTGTTAGATATTTAACTTTTTCCTTGTCTCTCCATTGCCTGTCTTAGGACCATGGTTTTTTGGTGAAATCATTGATGGCAAGTTGGGCTGCTGCTTTTCCTTTGGAATATTTGTTAATGGACATTTCCTTCAAGGCAGTACGACATTTATAGTTGGAATTCTCCAGGTAAGAGGTCAGAAATTCAATTTAGGAACATTTTAGCCTGGTCAGATTACCTGCATAAATAACAGTTACGAGTTAAATCCAAAAGTCCAAAGGTGACCATAGATCATCTTTCCTACTTTATTTCCAGAGCAGTCTCCAGTAACAGATGCTTTGCTTTGCTTCTTCTTTACTTCCACTACTCTTGTGTAAACATCTAAATACATCTTTGAAATGCAGGTCTGACAGAGGTTTAAGAGGTTTTTGTTGTTTCATTGTGTTTTTTTATTGACAAACTTTTGTGGTAGAATAAATTATACATGAGCAAGTAAACCAAAACTGATTATGAAAAAAGCCAGGTGTGGTGGCGCACACATAAAATCCCAGCACTCGGGTGGGGGGGGTAGGGTGCCGAGGCAGGAGGATCACTGTGAGTTTGAGGCCAGCCTGGGCTACATAAGTGAGTTCAAGGCCAGCCTGAACTACAAAGCAAGACCCTCCCTGTCTTAAAACAAAAGAAAATAAGGCTGGGCATGGTGGTGCACATCTGTAATCCCAGCACTCAGGAGGCTGAGGCAGGAGGATTGTTTCGAGTTCGAGACCAGCCTGGGCTACAAAGTAAGCTCAACGCCACCTGAATTGCATAGTGAAGCCCTGTTGCAAAAAGACCCAAAAAACAAAACAAAACAAAACAAAAACTGATATTAAAGAAGAAGGAAAATAGGAGTAAAAGAAAAAATAGACACACAAAAATGTGTCAGCTATTCAGTAGAAACTTCACTGGACAAAAACCAGACCATGGCTTTCCAATGATGTCTTAGCAGGACTTTTGTTTGGGAAGCCATGATATATAAGGTTTACATTTGATTCCGTTAAAACAAACACACAAACAAATAAAACATTCTGATCTATGGCAGAATTCTATAAAGAGATTTTAAAAATATTTACCTAATAATTGCTTTGGTTTACTTACCTAGTGGGGCTAGTGCACCAACATCTCAGGTATAATTGGAAGGTTTGGAAGAGACAGAAACATTATTCAAAATGAGTTCAAGGCCCTCAACAAGGCAGTAAAACAAGATCAGAGGGATTAGAGACAGCCAAGGCTTTTCCCTGCCACTGACCCCACAGTGTTCTCTACATAGAAGCATTAAGTATGTGAGTAGATCCTGGGTCCAATTCCTCTTTTTTTTTTTTTTTCTTTCCCTTTCCCTTCTCAGCCTACGCACCCAAAACCCAGAGCCTCAGGTGTGCTAAGCACAGGCAGACTGACTCAACCACTGAGCTCCACCATAGCCCTGCACTGTTTTCTTTTTTTTTTTTTAATCCAAGTTCTGTTTGCTAATATGTAAATGGAGGCTGCTTATCAGGAGCTCTCTCGTACCAAGTGAAACCTAACTTATTAAAAGGCAAGGTTATTTGTTTCTTTGTGTTTATAGTCATATCTTAATCAATAGTACACTGGTAATGGATTTAATGTATTATGTAGGTCATGACTCCCAAATTTTGTCCTGACCTAGACCTCTCTTCTGTACTTCAAGTCTATGTATCCAACTGCCATTTTATATATTCTCTTAGATAGCTAATAGGCATCTAATTTAATACTCTATGTCTGATAGGAACTTCTGTTTCCACCTAAACCAATCCTTCACCTTCATTTTCCTTTTTTAATTTTTTGTTTAAATTTTCTTTTTTGAGACAGGATTTCACTATGCAGTGCAGGCTGGCCTTGAACTCACTTTGTAGCCCAGGCTGGTCTTGAACTCACAGCAATCCTCCTGCCTCAGCCTCCTGAGTGCTGGGATTACAGGCATGTGCCACCACACCTGGCTCCACCCCCATTTTCCATCTGGCTCCTTGTGCTCAGCATGTGCTGCCTTAAAGACACCGAAACATTTCCCACACTTTCCTCAACTGACCCTTGTGCTTAAGGCTTCAGAGAGCCTGTCTCCCAGTTACCTTCTAGTGACTCAGGCATTTCCTTCATTGAATCTGTTACAAGATGTAGTTATCTTTTAAAAATTTTATATTATTTTTGTTCTCTCTTCTACCTGTTAGAATGTAGGTTTATGGTGGATCTTTTTTGACTTGTTTACCAGTGTATCTCCAGCCCAGAGTCTAGCAAAGTGCCTGCCACATAAAGGGTGCTTCATGAGTATTTGTTGAATGAATGAATCACATAGCAACTAAATTGAATTGTAACTTAGATCTTCTAACGTATATTTCAGTACTTATCATGCTATATCAAACAAAAATATAGATACAAGAAAAAAGTACTGTCACCTAAGACCCTCCTTCCTTCCACCTAAAAAATATATATACTGTGTGTTTGTATGCAGGCTCAATGTATTTATTTTTTATTTTTTGGTTTTTTTTCCGGTACCTGGAATCGAACTCACGACCTCGTGCTTGCCAGGCAGGCACTGTGCCACTGAGCTAAATCCCCAGCTCCTGCATGCTCAGTTTAGTTCAACTTAAATATTGGTGTCTACTGTACATATGGTACTGCAAGTGCAGCATGAATAGATACCTCCCATTAAGAGGGACAAAAGGTCACAGGCAAATACACAGTTAACTGTAGGTCACCTGTAACTTGTGTTACAGACAAGTGTGACTGAAGCATTAAAGGTCAGACGTTCAGATCGGATATCCTTAGGAGCCACCTGTAATATCCAGACTCACCCCTCTCAGGGCTTGGCATTGAGCTAATGGTTGTGTTCTGCTGCTTTTTCCAGCTGGCATTTTTTAACATTCCGTTGATGGCTTACCTCTGTTGGAGCTTGCTGCAGCGATGCTTTGGTCAAAGTTTCAGGTCTCATCTCCATCAAGGAAAATACTTGAAAATTATACCTGTTCACCTACTTATGCTCCTGCTGTACCTCTGGCAAGTTTACTCCTGCTACTTTCTTCATGTGACGTTTGGCACTCTAGCTTTTTTAATATCCCCTTTGCGGACCTGGTTGACATTGCTGACGCCGGTACTCATTCGTTGTGTGTGGACACTGAACTCGACAGAGTTTGGAACCTTCATGGTGCAGTTGAAAAGCCACCTGAGCTCCTGAGGGCTGTCTTTGCGCACTGGCAGCTGTGCAGAAGTCCTGCCTTTGCATGTTTAGTCCAGGTCCCTGCCCCCAGTCTGCGTGTGAGCCTTAGAGGACCGCTGCTGCCCGGACACCTGGATGTTGGAAGGATTACTCACTACTGATTCCTGCAAAGTGGACCGCAGAAAGTATAAACAATGACTTGGTCCTGGCCGTCCCTAAGGAGACAAAGAAAAAGCCCTAATCAAGAGGCGCCACGGCATAGGGGCTGGGTGCATGCATGGCAGTATCTCAGGCCCAGTGTGATTTTTAGGGTTCTCCCTTGTAAAGCCTCTAGCACTGTGCCTGGACTTCAGCACTATCAAGGATGACAGCGCCCCGTGTACCTGGGCCAGAACCTGACTTCCCTTGAGATGTTAATTCCCAACCCTGTTTTCCCACAGGGTTATGAGTTTTCTGCTTCCTTGGTCGGGGGTGTTTTCAGCTAATCGAATAAATGATGTACGACTAATTACAAACATAAGCAACACCACCTTTGCTGTGGCCACGCCTCTGGAGGCCAGAAGGTGGGGCGGGGGCGTGTCTGGGGGCGGGGCCAGCCGGGCTGTTGCCGGAAGCGAGCCGGCGGCTGTGGCGCCGGAAGTGCTGCCCGTGTGACGCTGGTCCTCGGTCGGTGGTCCCCTGCGAGCGTGGGACAGAAATGGCGAGCACAGCTGCGCCTGCTCCCTCTGCGCCCGCCCAGGCCCAGTCTGCGGAGCAGCTTCGGCGCCTGGCGGCGGAGCTGCGTCTGCTTGCGGCCCAGGTGCGGGGTAAGTGCGCCCTCGGGAGAGGGGGCGGCGGGGGTGTGGAGAGGACGGCGGGCGGAGTCGGCTCGGCTCACCTTCGCTTGTCCTCTGGCCACCGTGGGTCCCCACGCTACCCCCTGCAGTGGGCGAGGCCCGGGAGACGCCCGAGGAGTTCGATCGGGAGAGGTTCTGGAGAAGACTCAGTGAGTGCCGCGCTTGTCTGGGACCCCTTTCCTCTCCCCCCCCCCCTGTCCCGGGCTCTCCCACCTGCTCCCCGGGCACATCCCCCGGGTGGTGCGGCTTCGCGGTACCCACCCTCAGCACTTGGTGGGGCGGGAATACTGGTTTACGGAGGTATTTTTGAGATGTGTGGACCGATAAGGGTGGAGAGGGGACGGGTGATCTTCCGAGTCTGTGCGGCAGCGTTAGGCGTTCGCACTGACTTGGCACCTGCCTCCTCCACTGCCTTCCCCAGATGAGGCGGCAGTGACAGTGGCCGGGCAAGCCACGACTCTCACAGCAGTCTTTCGAACACCGCTGCCCGCTGCACAGGTGAGCTTCGTTTCACTGCAGTCCCTGTGCTGCCTCCTTATTCCTTAGGAATCTCTTCTTTTTCTTTCCACCTTTTACACTCAAGCCAAGAGATTTATTTTCTTGAGATTACAGTTCTTACTCCCAGGATTGTTGTGAAAGCAAACCGGCAGTGCCTGGCACGGAGCAGGCTTGTCTTCGCCAGTCCAGCTGAAGTCCAGCCTCACTACCGCCTTCCTGGTGACTTTTTAAAGAGCTGTGGGTGTTTTCAGATACAGTACATTATCCCCATCTGACAGATGAGCTGCCAGGTCCACAGGGTCGGGCTAAGATTAATAATCAGAGAAGGCTGAATTTAAACAAGGTCTAAATGATATTCTATGACATATGTAATTCCTTTTGCTTGGAAATTTTTGATTTAACCAGTAATGTGGATATAGTGAAAAATCAAAGGATATCAGAATTAGGTATGCTAAAAAATTTGTTTTCCTACTGCAGTCCCTCATTTGTGTCTCCTTCTTTCTGTCTTCTCAATATACAATATAGTCTATGAATTTATACATTCCTATATGTTTATATGTATATGTCCACTTTTTACAAATACTATAGATACTAGTCTGGCCATTTAAAAAACAGCGGTACAGCCAGGAAATTGATTTTTAACAGCATGTAAAAAATCACAGTTATTTGTAGTGGATACTTACTCAATAAAATGACTGTAACCTAATTTAAGCAGTAACCTATATTTACATTTAAATTGCCAACTTACAACTGTCATAAGCAGGTGCTACGAATTACTAAATGTAATCTTTGTGTAATAATGTACATTGTAGACAAATTCCTAGAGGTGAAATTTCTAGAACAAAGAATTTGTGCATTTTAACAACCATTTATTATAAAACTGAAAGATGTTGGTTGTGACCAGACATACTTTATACTCACATTTTCTAGAGTTGTATATGTTTGAGAATTGAGGTTATTTAAAAATTGAGTATTCATTGCCTTAATTTCTAGTCAGTAGCCTCAGAATCTATTCAGATGTTTTGAGGATTTGTATGTACAGTGATTTTTTAAAAAGCTCTCTCTTCCTGCATACTTTAAAGATCTGTGATGAGGAAATGAGATAAATTGTATAATACCTAAAATTTCATAGAAAAAGGTTTGTTTCGAGGAGAATAGTACTTGTTTTTATCTACTTCCTCTTTTCTTTCAAATATATTTGGACTTACTGCTAAAATTCAGTAAGATCCCACAAGGAAGCAGCATACAACTGTTTTTCTGTGTATGCTTAGGACAGTAGTTTTACTCATAGGTCAAAAATTAGAATTTGGGGGGCTGGGGATTTAGCTCAGCGGCAAAGCGCCTGCCTGGCAAGTGCAAGGTCGTGAGTTCAGTTCCCGGTACTGGAGAAAAACAAAACAAAACAAAACAAAACAAAACAAAACAAAACAAAAAAAAAATTAGAATTTGGTTTTACTTGAAATATATGTGAATTAGATATTCAAATATATATTTGAGAGTCACAGTTGCCTTCTTAGGATCTCAGCACTTTATTCCTGCTGAAGGAGGTATGTTTTGTTTTTAAAATTCTAATTCATATGGACTGATATTTTTATAGAAGTACATGTTTGGATGTTGAAACAATGCTAAGTGGCCATAGAAGTTTTGTAACACTTGCTCTCAGTCACTGTACGTACTTCACTGTAGGAACTAGTGAAGCAGTTTGTAGAGTGCCACCAATTTGGGCCATGCTTACATAGCACTGCTTTAGAATTTAGCAGAGAATAGAAGCTGGAAAAAATAAGAAAGCCAGTGATTGCTTAGAAGGAAAATGTGAGCACTGAGCAATAGCTTCGTTAATTACTGTTAGTCCCCTGTTGAGAGAGATACAAACACACAGACCTGGTTCACTGTCCAACACAGGGGTTGGCAAGCTTTTTCTATAAAAGGCTGGGTAGTAACTATTTTAGGCTTTGCAGACCAATTTCTCTACTCTGCCCATGTAGTGTGGGTTATAACTGTGTAAACCAGTGAGCATGGCTGTGTCACCATAACTCTTTATTTACAAAAACTAATAGTGAGCCTGATTCAACTTGTTTGCCTGCTCTTGGTCTAACATATGGCAGATACCACATGGCATAATAAAACTCTCTTGGGATATATAGTATAAAGAATAAGTCTTTCCTGCTATTTCTTAATTCTTTCTTGAGTTGTTAGCCAGTGTGTGGTTTCCAGCTAACTTTTCTCTAGTATGGGATGAGTTTAGCACAAGGCTGACTCATAGTAGGACTTGAGAAAATGTTTAGTGGTGTTGTACGGATGTCTGCTGTGTTCTATAGTAGATGAGATGACCAGAGTGATCTAATCCACTCTCCTTTTTTAACCCTGAAATTGGTCCATCATCTTGTAGGAAACCCAGGCCGTCTGTGAGCAAGTCCATGCAGCCATCAAGGCACTTACTGCAGTATACTATTCACTTCCCAAGGACCAGGGTAAGCCACTGTCTACACATTAGAATTGCATTTATACGTCAGATCTTCACTAGCATAATGCATCATGCCGTGAGACTTTTTACCTTTGCCCAGTTTGAGTGTGTGGCTTTCTCCGATCAAGGATAATTGTACAATAATCCTCTGTAGACTCTCCAATATGCCGAGGTACAGATGCTGCGCACCTATGACTTCCCATCTCTCCTGCCTTGCCTGACTTTTAAGGCTTTTAATTCTCACTGGCTCTTCCCTCTTCAAGCCTTTATAACTGCCACAGTAGCTGGCTGAAGCTCAGCTTCCTGCCCAGGTCAGGCTGTCCCTGCTGTCCTTGCACCCCATCACATCACAGCCTGTTTTCAGACTCCTTCATAAGTTGTGTCCACCAGCCCTGCCTGCAGTTTTATGCCTTGATCATAATCATGCCAAAATGAGAAAAATATGTATCGTAAGTGTTCAGGGTTGCTCACAAATGGTTTAAATTTCAAGTGTTTTATCCAGTTTCAAGAGACCCCTGCCCTTAACAGGTGAACATATGCTGTCCTGGAAAACTTTTGTGTTTCTTGGAGACTATATCTCAGGAATGTGGGGAGGAGGAAAAGAGCAAAGAAATGACCTGGGATATAAATGAAGAAGTGATTGTTGTGTTGGTATTATTTCATTTAAGGCATGGGGTTGTCCATTACCTCAGAGTTTGGTAGTGCTTAGTCTCAGGAAAGCAGATGGTGACTTCTGAAAAGAAGCCCAGACTGCCTACCGTTTGGGTTTGGCCACAGGGATCACCCTGAGAAAGTTGGTACGGGGCAGCACTCTGGACATCGTGGACGGCATGGCTCAGCTGGTGGAAGCCCTTCTCATTGCTCCAGCTCAGAGGTAGTGATGCCACTATGTGGGATAATAATTAATTAATTAATTAATTTATTTTTTGAGGCAGGGTCTCGCTCTGTAATTCAGGCTGGCCTTTGACTTACTATGTAGCTCAGGCTGGCTTTGAACTCATAGTAATCCTCCTGCCTCAGCCTCCTGAGTGCTGGGATTACAGGCAAGCATCACCATACCTGGCTTGTGGGGTGGTAGTTAATGGGCTTCTTTGATTCTGGGGGGAAAGCTTGTCTAGCAGCAAAGTTACTGATAGCTGAGAGGAACGACTAGTGGGAAGAGCTTATTAATAGACAGGAAGCTAGGTTATTGATCTCTTCTTACTGATTCCTTTCCTCAGCACTGAGAACAGTGACCTTATTTCCTACAACAGTGTCTGGGTTATGTGCCAGCAGGTACCTCAGATACCAAGAGGTGAGTGAGAGTGGGAAGTGGGCCACTGACTGCTGACCAAAGCAGACAGACTTCTGTCTAGCTTCCATCTTGGTAACATGTATGTATTTTAATTTCTATAAAAAGTATTCTTTTCAAAAGTAAGTTTTGGTTGTCCTTTACAGTCTTAAAAGAGTCACTGGGTTTCTTCTCTAATTCTGATTTTTCACTCATAGATAACAAAGCTGCAGCCCTTTTAATGCTGACAAAGAGTGTGGATTTTGTGAAAGATGCACATGAAGAAATGGAGCAGGTGAGAGAATCTCTTTCTTATCATTGGGAGGTAACTCCACGACCAATAGATGAGACTTGCTTAGAAAGGAAGATTGAGTATTGATGACTAGGCCCTATTGTCACTCCTGGCGTGTGTCTTCTATCTCTACTCACCTCCTGGTGTGTGATTTAGTACCCCTCCTCTGTTCTGTTCTGGACAAGGACAGTGAGAACAGGGTTTATGAAAGGACTCAGCTCTGTAGCCATTTGTGAAGTAGCTGGCTGAGGTTTTTGGAAAACTTAGTCATGGTGCTAAAAGTATAAAAGGCGCTGTGTGTGTTCACCACGTGTCATGGTGTATGTCTTAGGCTGTGGAAGAGTGTGACCCTTACTCTGGACTCTTGAACGATTCTGAGGAAGACAGCCGCAATGATGAGGATGTGTTGGGGTTTCCGAGCAATCGGGACGTGTATTGGTCTGAGGAAGATCAGGAGCTCATAATCCCATGCCTTGCACTGGTGAGAGCATCTAAAGCCTGCCTGAAGAAAATCCGGATCCTAGTGGCAGAGAATGGCAAGAAGGATCAAGTGGCCCAGCTAGATGACATTGTGGACATTTCCGAGGAAATCAGCCCCAGGTAAGCATGCTCCTCGTTGGTAACAGAGGAGCATTCTCACCTCAGCTTATGCTGTCCCCCCAAGCGTTTCCCCCATTTTTTTGTATTTTGAGAACACTTCAGAGAGTAACTCTACAGTCTTTCATTTGGAGTCGCCTTGTACCGGTTTATTCTTCAAAAAATAGATGTATTTTTTTTCCTAAACCATTTGAGAATTAATTTGGGATGTCAATGACATTTTACCCCTAAATACTTCAACATTTATCTCTTAATAACAAAAACAATCTTATTGTCACAAGAAATTTAACACTGAATGTAATATTTAATACTCAAGGTTTTTCTGTTTGTTTCTAAAATGTCTTATGTAAATCTGGGGTTCTGTACAGAGTTCGTATTACTTGTGGTTGTCATCTCCAAATGCTTTGTAGTCTCTTGCAATCTACAACAGTCTGTATCTTTCTTCTTTTTTAACATTAAAGTTTAAAAAGAAAACATAATATTTTCTTGTAGAATGTCTAGCAATTTTTATTCATGTAATTATTTTTTTATGATTATAGTGTTAAACATTTTTTGGCAAGAATATCATGTAGTGGAGTGTTTTGTGCTTCCCCTTGTGTTGTATTGAGGGGCAAATTATGTTGGTTTGTCACATGATTGGTGATACTAAATTTGATAAGCTGCTTAAAGTGGTACCCTCCTTAATAAGGATACCTTTTGCCTGACAATTTTAGCTTCCATTAATGAACTCAATCTAGGTCAGTTCCTAAATTGATGGTTTTAGATCCTGTGTGTGTATGTGTGGTACCGGGGGATGGACCTAGGGCCTTTTTAGTGACCTATGTCCCTAGCCCATTTATCTCTCTGTCTTTCTCTCCCCCCCTCCCCCGCCCCATCTACCTATCTATCTATTTTGAGGCAGTGTCTTGCTGAACTGTCTAGGCTGGGCTTAAACTTGTGATCCTTCTGTCTCAGCCTCCCAGAATTCTGGGATTATAAGCATATATTGCTATACCCAGGAGCTCAGTCCCTCATTTTTTGTTTGTTTTGTTTTGTTTTGAGACAGGATCTTGCTCTGTAATTCAGGCTGGCCTTAAACTCAGTATGAGTGTCTGGCCTTAAACTCAGTATTAGTGTCTCTTTTAACACTAACCCTGGCACTAACCCTGGCCTTAAACTCAGTATGAAACCCAGGCTCGCCTCGACCTCTTGCCTCAGCCTCCCAAGTGCTGGGATTTCAGGCATGCACCACCACGCCTGGTGTAGATCCTCATATTTTTGCCTGAATTAGTAATTAGTAATTCCACTCCATGAACCAAGTGCATCCCTCCTCCTGCCTTGCTAGTGAAATACAGTATTGTTATTACAGTATGTAAGTTTCAGTACAAACTGGATGAATTGATTCTGCATTGGTTGCCTAGTTACTTAATTTATGGAACTAATACACATTTCTGGGACAGATTCTCCTTACATCTGTAGTTGTATACTGGAAATAGGTAGTGGAACTTCATTCCTTGTTAATGATTGTTTTTGCTTTCTACTCTTAGTGTGGATGATTTGGCTCTAAGCGTATATCCGCCCATGTGCCATTTGACCGTGCGAATCAACGTAAGTACCCACTCTGAGGGAATAGTTACACACCCGATTGGTAGAATTTCACTAATCACTAACATTTCCTCTAAGCTTTAGGGCACATATTTATTTGTAACACTTTGATGCAAGCACAGTACTTATGTCACAGTTCTTGCTTGTATTTGTGCATGATAAACATTTGCTGAAGTCGAATTATTACAGCCTTGAACTTTGATAGTTCTCTCTTCCATAATCACTTGAGTGATCGTTTGGAAAAGTCCAACAGTCTTAGGAAATGCTGCTTTGAAAGGAAAACCTCAATTACACAGTGCTTTAGGAACCTCTGAGCCTGCAGTCACAAGTTTCTAACTTGTAGGCAGAAGAAGTTGCAGGAAAACACTGCGCTCTGACACAAACACGCTGTATCACTTCACCATGGAAAGTCAAGCTCTTTACCAAGTTCTCTTGTAGTTTTCAAGTGCTGAGCTCTAGAGTAGAGAGACTTCAGTTCTGTTATTTTTATAAGCTCCTCTTTTTATGTCTGATATTTATTGGAAGGAGAAGTTAAATTGCTAAATAGCTTACATTTTATAGTGTGATGTGCTACCTCTGATATTTGATAAATTAGTTGTGGGATATATATCAAATGTATACAGTATTCATGATGTGCAAATACCTTGAAGTAGAATAGGATTCCTTTTGGGTATTAACCTGTTTTTCTTTGCCACTAACTTTTTAAAAATTGATTTTGAGAAATAAGTATCTCTAGTCATACGCCTTGTCAGTTTTTCCAAGCACAAAATTTAAATACATAAAATATATACATACATCTATACTTTATGTTGTTGGCATACATACCTCCCAATGTAATTTTGTTTCTTTCTTTGAAGGGGTGGCAGGGATTAAACACAAGGCCTTGCACATACTAAACACATGCTAAGCATACATTCTACCACCGAACTATTCCTCCATCCCCATGTTTGTTTTTTTTTTTGCCCATGTTTTCTTGATATTCTTAAAATTCTGTAATTCTTTTAATAAAAAGAACGTTAGTTATTTCTGTTTTACATTCTGAGCTCTCAGGCAGTTGGGATGAATTCAAGCTACATTCCTCTGTTTGTTCTTTTTAAATTAATATTTTAAATTTCAGAAATTTATAAGAATGTTATAGCAGCAGTATTAAAAAAGATTTTGCTAAATACAAGATAATCTGAAGCTGAAGGTTACCAAGTAATCTCAGAGCTCTGGAGGCTGAGTCAGGATAATTCCCTTGCTTTCAAGGCCAGCCTGGGCTACATAATTTTCCTGGCTCAAACAAACAGAAAAAGGAAAAGAGGAAAAGTATAATCTTACAGTGTAACTTCATCAGCATTTTTATTTTTACATATTTTCTTCAAGATTGCTTTTTAAAAGTGTTTTTAAAATTACTTGGGTCTTTAAAAAATATTTGAGCTTTTGTTTTCCTTTTGATGGCAGGGCTCAGAGTGAGTAATTATTCTGTTTCTTTTCTAGTCTGCGAAACTTGTATCTGTTGTAAGGAAGGCACTTGAGGTTACAAAGTAAGTATGAAGACTCCTCCACTAGGCTTGTGAAGAATAACCTTGTCTGTCTGCTTAGCATGCTCAACTCCTAAGCCCTGTTTCAAGCAGTGGAAAAGAGCGGGCATGGGGCTTTCTTCCAGCTTCCATTTCTGTGACCATGCTTGCTTTCTCTTGCTGTAGTTTCTCCTATGTGTCCTCCTGAGGATAGGCTTTCCCTTGGCACTGTACGAAGTTTAACTTTTTTATTATTTTATTTTTTACCTGTGCCACTGAGGATTGAGCTACACCCTAGCCCTTTTTATTTTTATTTTTATTTTTATTTTTATTTTGAGACGGGGTCTAAGTCACTGAATTGCCTAAGCTGAGCTCAAATTTATGATTGTCCTGCCTCAGCCTCCTAGAGTGCTGGGATTACAGGAATGTGATTGTTATATCACACCAGGCCTGACTAATTTCCTTTTACTCCCTGCCCCCATTTCATTTGCAGAGCAAGTCATGTGACCCCTCAGCCAGAAGATAGTTGGATCCCTTTACTCATTAATGCCGTTGATCATTGCATGAACAAAATTAAGGAGCTCACGCAGAGTGAAATTGAACTATGAGTTTTCAGATTCATTCAGATTCTCCTGTCTCCCTGTCACTGTTGCACCCAGACTCTGATTCTGCTTTTAAAAGTAGACCTAGTGGCCGGGTGTTGTGGCGCACACCTGTAATCCCAGCACTTGGGAGGCCAAGACAGGAGGATCACTGTGAGTTCAAGGCCAACCAGAACTACAAAGTAAGTTCAAGCCAGCCTGAACTGTATAGTGAAACCCTGTCTCAAAAAGACAAAAAATTAAACTTTTAAAAAAGGACCTAGCATACTTGCTAAGAGAAAAAGGATTCCTGTCTATATTTAATAAGAGACTCTACTTCAGAGACTATTGATTAAGCCAGATTGGCAATTACTTATAAACCATATAAATGTGATATAGTTTTCTGTGCTAGATATAAAGGATAATTGCATGAGTTTGCGTTCCTGAATTGCCTCGGAGACTCCTAAGGAAGTTACCCTCTGTCTTATTCTATTTCATGTGTTGTTTCATCGTTAAAAATGTTGATGGCCTCAATAAAGTGCTAACCAGCTGCTAGCAGTTAAATGAGTACCCTTTCATTTGGATTTGTAGATCTTAAGATCTGATTGTGATCAGACATATATTTAGAACAAAAACACTTGACTTTAATCTTGTTAGAGAAGATGACCACCAGCCCCCCTTAGTGTCTCGTCATGTTGTATTAGTTTCATCAGTAGGTCCTTCTGAACATTGTCTCAGGTTATTCAGGGGCTCTCATACGTGTTGGTGTGGCACTCAGTTGTTAGATTTGTCAGTTTTATTGAACAGATTTGTTTTCCTTGTACCTGCCTGAATTGTTGTTCTGTTACATATTTACATGTGTCCCCAAATGTAAATACCAGCTTTCATAAATCTAAAATAGTTTAATGTATAAAAGAGCTCATATAATTTTAAGGGCCTTCTTGGTATGTCCTTTTGCAGAATGATCACCACTTAAATCCATTTTTGCATCCGTCTAGAAGATCATATATTAGAGGGCAGGGTAGGTCTGTTGTGTAGCGGTGTAGACTATGCTCACCTGAGTGGGGCTGGACGCACTGCAGGTCGGTCACTCTCCACCCCACACTGCACTGCAGGCCTTCTCCTCCCTGGCTGCAAGTTGCCACATTTGTCTCCCTGATTTCTTTAGGAATAGTCAGCACAGAGTCATTCTTTGGAGTAACAAGTATATATTTGGGGTTGAAGTTCCTTCAGCCAAATGAATTTTAACCTACTTTTTTAAGGCACCGTCCTGTGCTTTAAACAAATGTCATAAAGAGAAGGAACTAAAACTAGCAGAATGTCAAAGCAACAGAATAATGTAAACAACAACAAAAATCCTTGCTTTGTTTGAAAGGAAAAGTTATTTATCCTTTTTTATTGGATGTATTTTCTATATACTTAATTTTTATATTCTCAGCTGGGCATGGTGGCGTACACCTGTAATCCCAGCACTCAGGAGGCTGAGGCAGGAGGATTGATGTGGGTTTGAGGCCAGCCTGTGCTACAAGATGAGTTCAAGGCCATCCTGAATTGCATGGTGAAACCCTGTCTCAAAAAAAAAAAAATACATATATATATATATTCTGTACGGGATCAGATTTATGTTATTAATATCAGACTTTAGTTGTGGGATCCTGACTGGAAAACTCTAGTAAAAGTTTGTCTGCAGCTAACTAGATCATTCTGCTCGCAGAATGTAACTGTTCAGTCACCTTTGGATGTTTAAGGATACTGTTCAGAGAGAGCACCACTCAATGTAACATTAGGATTACCTAAAATTTCCACTACTAGCTAATATCATCCCACTGCATCAGAAATGGATGATTCAAATACTGTTTTAGGCCATTTCCCTTACATGTTACAGTAGTTAAGGAGGAAGAAAATGGTTAAAAAAACCCTGAACTTGAAAAGTCTGTACTCCGACAATGTACTCAAAAAAATGTACATGTACTTTGAAAAGTTACTGAGTAGCGTTTCAAAAGCGTTTGTCATTCAAGCCCTGTAGCTTCCATTCTAAGAGCTATTCTCAGTGGCTGAGGTGACAGAAATGAGCATCTCTATCCACTGATTTCTGGGGATCTAGCTTTGTTGTTGGTAACTCAACCTAGAGGCTCATTTGATAAGAAGCCTTCCTTCCCCAGCACATGTTTAGTTTTAGATTGTAGTTTCAAGAGTTGTTTTCTAGATTGTGGCTTTAAGAGTGGTGATGTTGGATGAGCCAGGAGTGGTGGCACATGCCTGTAATCCCAGGACTCGGGAGGCTGAGGCAGGAGGATTGTTGCAAGTTCGAGGCCAGCCTGGGCTACAAAGTGAGCTCAAGGCCAGCCTGAGCTGCATATCGAGACCCTGTCTCAAGAAAAAAGAGTGGTGCTGATGGAGCTGGAAATTTAAGCTGAAAATTCCGGGGCTACCACGGTGACACTTTTGTGGCTGATTAGGTTCTGGAACATGTCGCAGTCCATTTCCACAGTGAGCCTGTGAGGCCCCAGCTGCGTCGGTGTGAACTGGAACGAGGTGCACAAGGTTTTTCCAGGCCGCACTGGATTTAACCTGCAATAAAGAGAAGAGCAGGTGCTAATTGTGCCTAGGCTCATTGCTCTCCTGGTCCCAGTGACCCCTTGCTGGCACAGGCGGACCAGGAGGAAGTAAACATCTAAGTACACTGCTGTTAACACAGAGGTGGTTACAAGGGGCTGGAAGACAGGAGCCTCCCCATGCTGAGCAGCTGTGTACATAGTTCAGATGAGAAGCATCTGCTGTTTCTTTCATGATCTGTGATGGAGTCTGGTTCCGTGCTTGGTAATAGTCCTGGGGCGTGTTTGGGAAGCGCTCTAGTGTGGCGTCCCCACTCACTGCTCAGCCCGGTGGGTGTGGTAGGCGCACTGAGAGCTTGGCAGTGTGTCAGGAGAGGGGACTTGGAGCGCTGTCAGCCTCCTCATCTGCTCTAGACAGATGGAGCACTTGCCTAGCATTCAAGAAGTCCTGGGTTCCATCCCCCCAAAATTTAAAGAGAAACAAAAATCCCTATGAGGAGCCATTTCCTTAAGTCAGATGAGGAAACCTGAGTCCTGGAGAGCAACATGCCCAAGATTGTAAAAGTAGGAAGGTATCTCAGTATCTCAGCCATCTGCCAGGGGCCTCGGCCGTGGTAAGAGTAGGCATTTTGAAATTTAAACAGTATACTGTGTGGGAACCCAACAAAGGATGTAATGGACACAAAGAGAACATTTATAATTCCTAGAACCAACAGGAGACCTAATTACCTAGAATACATGCGAACTCCTACACATCAAGAAAAATGACAAAAACTCCAAAACTGAAGAGGGCGGAGGTAAGGATGGACTATTGACAGAAGGAAATGGAAAAGGTTAGCAAATATATAAAAAGTGGCAAATGAAACAACGGCAAAGTATTTCTTTCTATTAGGGTGGAAATACAAAATTGTATTGCCAGGAGCGGAAGACAGGAATATAGGCACTCGTGCAGTTCCATTCCTGTGCAGATACAGCCCTCTACCACCGCAGTTTCGAAAAGGTGTAGAAGGGGTCATGCATGAGGCTGTTTGTCCAATAAAGCATTGCTTGTGCCGCCAGAGACCACTGTGGGAGGGGCGGGAGCGGGGATGCAGGCTGTGGAGCGCTGCGCGTAGGGTGAGGTAGGGAGCGGAGATGCAGGCTGGGTTGTACTATGGAGCGGAAGTAGTGATCTCAACATGCATGAATGGTAACATCTCCAAGTGAAAAGAAATAACATGTTTGAAATACAGGCTTAAGAAACAACAATAGACATGTCACACACACTAATCAGAGGATGTGAAGGGTGGTATGGGAATGGGAGGAGAGAATGGGAATAAAAATGAATAAAGCAAAATTGTACATTGTGGTGACTAGAAGGGTGCAGTTCTCTGCTCACACTGAGAAGATACCTGTCCCGCTGTGGTATCTGTCTCCCTAACCTCCTTCCAGCATCTGCCAGCAGTGCTCCGCCTGTCCCTGCATGACCAGGACGGTAATGGGTGAGGTGGGTGACAGGGGCTCACCCCGCTCATCCATGCCCTGTGGACATGCCGCGGACACGGCAGAAAGACGGTTTGTTTTGAGCTTTGGCGCTCTGCCCTTCTGCCCAGTTGTGATGGGTCAGGGGATGAGAAACTGGCAGTCACTTACTTGTATCTCTTCTCTCTGTGAATGAGGCCCCTTCCAAAGATGGTGACTTCACAATCCTTCATGGGGGAATCCAGGGAGTTGTGGATGCTGACTTCAACCCTGAGAGGTTGATACTGCTCCGCTACTTCCGGCATCTGTGGAGAGGGACAGCTCATGGCGCGAAGCCAAGGGCACGGAGCCATAGTCGCACCTTCCCCAGACCCTCGCCGCGTCCCTCCTCAGTTGCAGGGCTCCCTCCACCTCCTGGCCCCTGTCTGCTCACCTGACTCCTTCCCCTTCTCTGGGATAATCCTGCGTTCCCTTCACCCTTGGCTAGAACTGACATCTGTGATGGCGCTCTCCTGTGCTTGGAAAGCTTGGAGGGCTTCCCTTCGCCTGTGCAGTTCTGGTTGCATTTGGATCCTGCACCATCTAGCCCCACTTCTCCAGCCCCCTCTGCTTCATTTGACTAAACACCCCATCCCTGGGAGGGACTTAGTCCCCAGCACACCCCTCGGCTCCTTTCCTTTGCCTCTCTGTCTCAGTCTGCTTTTGCCTTTAGTGCCCCTTCCTAATTTGTACTGAAAGCGTATCAGTTTTCCAAGGCCAAGCGTAAATGTTACCTCCTTCATGAAACAGTCCCCAAGCCAGCAGCTGGAGCTAGTCTCCTTTATCTCATTTATATCAGGGAGACTTTGTATCTCTGTCAAATCCTCACATAGAATATCAAGTGCCATGTCTCCCTTACTAAACTATAACCTCCTTGAGGGCAGATCTCACGTTGGCCACAGTAGTCTTGTGGAAAGAGAGTAGGACTAAGAGACCTAAGCTTCTAGACCTTCCTACTTGTACAATCGTGGGCATGTTGCTCTCCAGGACTCAGGTTTCCTCATCCGACTTAAGGAAATGGCTCCTCATAGGGATTTTTGTTTCTCTTTAAATTTTTGGGGGATGGAACCCAGGACTTCTTGAATGCCAGGCAAGTGCTCTACCACTGAGCCATACCTCCAGCCCCCCATAGGCCTTGGCAGATGTATAAAATGCTAATAAACAAGCTGTGATTTTATCCCTATAAATATGGAAGAAGCAACTGGGAAAGTCCCAATTTTCAGAAATTTAACTAAGAAATTCCAAGATTTAAACTGAAATAGTAGGTGTAAGAACACATCTCTTCCAAGCCTAACAGGGTCTGGTAACTGCAGCGTGGTCATTGCCCTGGAGCTTGAGGAACTCGGGTTCCTTCTGAAGTGGGGGCCTGAGCAACATCCATGAAAACAATTCAGGGAAGGTCTGGTGCCTACCACGATGGCGAGGCGAGGTCTCTCGATGGCCATGTCCTCCTGAGCAAAGCAGCTCAGGCTGGAAGCAGAGTGCGTGGCCACCGCAGTGAGTCTGAGGCAGCTGTTCTCAGGTAGGTTGTGCTCAAAAGAGGAGGAGGACAGGTGGATGGTTCTATTTCGAACTGAAACACACGATAGGTAGAGTTGGTACCTTGGGGTAAGTATGAGCCCCAGAAAACACCTCATAGCTCCACACGATGCAAAAACCTGAAAGATGCCTCATGCCCTACAGCAACTGTAAGCGTTGCAATCACTCAGGACCCCCCCTTCCCATCTGCACTAGCACTGCCAGCGGGGCGCAGGCCTGTGAGTAGGATGGGGGCGCCCTCTGGGCCTCAGTGTCCTTGCCCACTAACACCGGCACGGTTTGTGTTCAGTACCCGCAGCACAGGAGGTGCTTCTCTCAGCCTGCCTCACAGTCACTGCTGGATGTGCCCATGTGCTTCCTTCCGTTCCCTGCTGCTGCTCCTCTTTGGCAGAGAAAAACGAAGCCACTGAGTATGGCTCCTATCAAGCTCAGGCTCCCATTCCCAACTTGCAGACACAGACGTCCCTCTGTGTTGTCACTCCCGCCCCAGGGAGATGAGTGTCCCCTGCTTTTTAAATCCGTTCCCTGTCTCCATGCGTAGCTGACAAGCTGTGTGACCTTGACATTTAACCGCTGTGTGTCTCCTCGGTGCCTTCCTCTGGGAGGTGGAAGTAGTAATGGTTCCTGCCTTGTGAGGTCGCTGTGGAGGGCTGGCTAAATCATGCCTCAGTAAGAGTTTGGCACCATTTTTGCCGAATAGTAATTGCTCAGCAAACGTAAACTGTAGTCATTCCAGTTGTCTCTTTAATATCTCAGGAACTGCACCGTTATAACCTGTCTCTCTGAGGCTCAGTCTTTGCCTCTGTCCTATTTTCCTCAGCATGTGAAGTTCAGCTCTCTCATCTTAAAAAAAAATCACCACCACCACCCTCCCATGCAGTGTTCCCGGCTGGCCATGACCCAGCCTGTCCTTCCCCATACGCCTCCAGGAAGGACTGCAAGCTTGCCCTGCCTGCTCGACTCCATCAGCTGAACTCCAGAAGGCTGGCCTTCACCACTGGCTCAGCCAGGTGGCTCTGCTAGTGGACGTGTTTCAGCCCAGCCCTCTCCTGACCTCCCCTCTTACACTTGTTAGTCTCCCTTACTCTCTCCCTTCAAAAGCCGGCATAGTGCAAGTCATCTGGGAGCAGCCTGCACCAGCTCCTCAGATGCTCCCGCACTGCAGTCACGGTTCTGTTCGGCGAGCTGACTGCAGCTGGCGCTGTAGGGCTTTCTCCCTGTGTTAGTCCCAGTCATCTGTGTTGAACGACTGACAGAATGAGCACCGAGGTGTAAGAGCCTTCTGTGGAGAGCAGTGGGCAGTGCCCAGGGTGCAGCCAGGTGGCTGGTGGGGCCAAAGAAAGTTACCCTCATTGGCTCTGAGGCTGAATGACTGTTTCTCCCTCCAGAGGTCAGTGGCAAGGACTCCATTGTAGTTTACTGCCTGGGCCCGAATCACCAGCTGCACTGCCTTCTCCTGGTTGCCAGGGTTTTTCACGGTCACTGAGATCTGGGCGTCTCCTCCCAGGGGGAGGAAGCTGGGCACTTCTAAGAACAGGTACAGTGGATCATCCGATTCACAACTCGGGGGGTGGATGCTCCTGTGCTTCTTGTGCCTCATCCTCTCCTTCTGGACTCTGTCTAACACCTCTTTCTCTTCAAGAGACCCTGGAGAACGGGAGAAACAAACCAGGCCTCTAAAGCAGGAGGTGCGGACCCTTCTGTTAAGAGCCCAGGATAAAAATGATGAAGGGAGGGGAGGGGAAGGGGGAAAAGAAAAGAATTGGGATATATGATGTACAAGTAAAAATTCTACATGAAGAATGTTATTATGTTTAAAGTGTACCAATAAAATTAATTTTAAAATATTTTTTAAAAATTAAAGTAGAAAGCCTTAAACAGTTCAAACAAACAAACATGTTTTGTTCACTTCTTAGATGCCAAAGACACAAAAGCTTTGCAAACCTCTAAGACCGTAGTTGGCCCCTAAAAGCCTATGTTGGGAACCCCCTGTCCCGCAGAAAGAGTGCCTCTACCAAGCCACTGAAGGGCCAAGTGTTCCAAGTATCATGAACATTCTCCTTGGGTTTTGTTTTGTTTTGTTTTTTGTCTTTTTGAGACAGGGTCTCACTATGCAGTTCAGGCTAGCCTTGAGCTCACTTTGTAGCTCAGGCTGGTCTCAAACTTGCAAGGATCCTCCTACCTCAGCCTCCCAAGTGCTGGGATTACAGACGTGCACCACCACACCTGGCAAATGTGCCCCTTGAACAAGGAGAGAGGAGGTTTTGCAATGAGTCAGCACCATCTTTGAGGACAATTTTGCAGGGAATTGAATCTTCTGTGAAGGAATTTGGAACTACTTTGAGGGCAGTGGGGGCCATGAAATATTCTGGAGTGTGAATGTAGGGGGGTAGCAAAATGACATTTGTGTCTTAGGAAGCTCAGTCTGGGAATTGAAAACTGGAAAGGGAGAAGAGACAGGGGGCTTAGTTGCTATCCTGTAGACAAGAGGTAATGAGGCCCCAGATTGGCTCTAGGCAGTGGGAAAGTGCCCAGGAGACAGAGATGAGGGTAGCTCGTGAAGGTGAAGGGAAGACTCCAGGGGGTAGAGGTCTTCTGCTTTGGACAAGTAGGTGAGGAGCAGTGCTTTCATCTAAGTAAAAGAAGAGCAGGGGCGCTGGAGAAGACGGGGAGGGGCAACACTACGAGTCTCCTGGGAGCTGGGCTTGGTATTGCGTGTCCTGTTTTATAGCAGTGGTTCTCACCTGGGGGTAACTTTGCTCTCCTCCTCCCTCCAGGACTTTGGAAATGTGTGGTTGGGGCAGGATGGCTAGTGTCTTATGGACACTACCATGCTGAATGTCCTAGGATGCTCAGCCCTCTACAAGAAAGAAATATCTGGTCCAAAACATCAATAGTGAGGACCAGGGGCTGGGGATTTAGCTCAGCGGCAAAAGCGCCTGCCTGGCAAGCACAAGGTCGTGAGTTCAGTTCCCAGTACTGGAGAAAAACCAAAAAAAAAAAAAAAAAATAGTGAGGACCAGGGTTGAGAAACCATGTTTATGTGACGGAAAAAGGACAGGGGCCCTTTCCAGCGTGCGTCTGTCTGGCCCAGCCCTTCTCTTCTGCTGTCCCAGGTGCAGAGAAGCCTGGGCCCCTTCCGGGCCAATACCTGCAGGGTACTTGTAGTGCCGAGTGATGTCCTCACAGCGGGCGCTGCCCACAACCTTGGTGCTGATGTTGTTCCCAACATACTTGGTGTTGAAGCTGGTCAACTCCAGCTTCCCATCCTCACGGCACTTCCAGACCACACAGGAGGCATTCACCGAGGCAAAAAGGTCCGACACTGCAGGCATCAGCTCCAGTGCCCCCTCCTTGACTGCTCTGACCGGGACCAGATCACAGGCTCCCAGGACTGAGGGAGAGAAAGGTTGATGAGCAAGGGGGCCACCCAGATCTCTGCCTGTCCTGGGATGCAGCACATCTGTCCCTGCTCTGTTCTCTGTTTTCCCTTCCCCTGGACCAAGGTCAGAGCTGGGCCCTGAGAGGGCTTCTGAGAGGTAGACGCAGGCAGAGGCGAAACTCCTAATTTTGTGGCAAAAGGAGTTTTTGATTGTGGCCTGTGGCAGAAGCCCTCTCCGAAACTGGACAGGAAGGACCTTCGGGTAACACGCGTAGCACGCAGGAGTTCCCAAGCCAGCTGTACTCCTGAGAAGACAGCAGTCGGTCACCGATCTTGAGCACTCGCCACATGCCAGGCTCTGTGACGTTCTGCTCCCGGGTGAGGAAGGTCAGGCTTCTGTGGCTGCTGACGCGTCCTCCTCTGAGCCTATCCTGAGGTCTTCTTCATCCACACTCAGAACCTCTCAGTCCTGCTCTGCAAGCCCCTGCCTAGCACACCTCCAGGCTATCTTCAGACCCTCCGCCGTCCACCAGGAGGCAGCTCCCTTGCCTGGCGCGATGGCTGGCACCTTTACTCCCCGGGCCCCCTGGCATCAGGCCAGTCTCCTGCTGGCTACCATCTTTCCCTCGGCTTCCCTTGTGTGAGCGATACACATCCCTTTGGATCCGCTGCTGCTCCTTTCCTTCTCTCAGGGGCCCTGGCTCTTTTGCTTGATTAGCACTGGGTGCTTCTGGCCCCACCCGAAGGTTTTACCTCCACCTCCGCGCAGAGCCTTTGGGTACAGAATCTGCCATCCACCGTAAGACTTGCACAAATCAGGCCTGGTCACCCAGCACTCTGTGGAAGTCTGGAAGACCCTGAAGGTAGCAAAGGCAAAAGTTCAAGTGGAAAACAAAGAGTGTGGAAGTTTTTGAGAGCTACAACCTAAAAAGAGTTTTCTCATGCAGATGAGAGACACTGTGTAAGAGTGGCTGTTACCGCCAGGGAGGGGTGTGCGCACCACCACTGACCCCAAGAGTCCTGAAGGCCTAGTCGTAGGGCCGGGGGCACTGGGCTGTGGGGTCCCATGGGTTTATGCCACACAGATTGGAGCCCTTCCTGTCTGGCACCCGTCTCCTTTGGGATTCTCACCAGATGCGGCCTCTCTGGCCTTCTCCGTTCTGCAGCCCCTCCTCATTGTAGTACTCGTCCACCAGCAGGCTCCCACCGGTGCCCTGGGCTGAGTTGAATGTGGTGACCACCCGGGCCGGGATTCCCAGGCTCCTCAGCACTACGTGGGAGAGGTACAGAACGTCAGAGAGAGTGGGGGGGGTACCCTGGGTGCAGGGATGGTGGTGGTGCTGTGTGGGGTGCAATTTTCAGGTGTCACCTCTGGACAGGCTCTGTCTTAAATGTCAGGTGACAGTGTGGAAGGAGAGGGGGTACAGGCACCAGGATATTAGAACTTGCACCCCAGAACAGGACCTTTCAGGGCTGACACAATTTACTCCACATGCAAGGACAGAGCAGGAGAGAGTGCTGGGGGCTTGCTCTGCTGGGGCAAAATGGAGGAACTTTTCAGGAAGGGAGTTTGGGGACAGCTTTGCTGAGGGGATAAGGAGAAGTTCATGGGGAGGAGGGGCTGGGACAAGGCTCTGGCTCCTTAGACCGGGTGTCTGAACCAGCTCCGGGCATGATGAAGTGGAGGAGGCAGGGCCTGCTTTGGAAGCTGTCCCTCCTCTGTGGCGGCCCAGGGACAACCTGAGAGGCAGCGTAGCCACTCTGGGCAGCCCAGGCGGCTGCTTTGCCATCATCCACTCTACCTGTGCAGGCAACAGCAGCCAGCACCCAGGCCTGACCCTCATACACAGGCCGCCCTTGGCCAGTGAGCCACTGCCGCAGGATGGGCGCGCTGCCCCGGCGCTTGTTCAGCAGAACATGTTCCTGGGTGGCCTGGGTCTGCGGCACGGGCAGGACCTTCTTTTCCTTGAGAGCGTGCAGCTGTGGGGGAATACACAGATGGCAGTGTGACGTCAGGCTCCGCGGCGAGGGAAAGGCGCCTGAGGAAAGCCAGGCCAGCGTCGTCCATGGCTGGCTTTTTTCTAGATTCCTGACACCTCTGGGTTTCTCTTGCCCTGTGGAGGGCATCGCTTGTCCTTCTCCTCCATCAGACCCTTCTCTGGTACTGTCTCTCACATCTCCAGAGGAGGGGATCATTTGTGACGTGAGGGTTTCCAGGGCCATGGAAGTGGGAGAGATCTGTAGAGGACTCGTCCTACTCACCCTCCCCTGGACCCCCACCTGTCACTCACCAAGGCGCCCAGCACACGGGCCACATGTGCAGGCTGGCTCCACTCCTCCACCTGCTTGTCTACACCCAGCAAATCCAGGCTGAGGTCCATGACATCCCTTTCGAACTGTAAGGACCGCACAGGCCAAGACAAAGGGTGTCCGGGTCAGGCACTCACCCCAAGGACAGCCTCATAGTTCAGTCCTTCCCCTGCCTCACTGTCCCCTGTGGGAGGGAGTTCTGGCCGCTCCGTCTCTCCTGCTGTGCCCCGTTCCCTATGCTGGGCATCCAGTCCTGTTCTGCTCTGTGGTCTCACTCTCCTGACAGGGTGTGAGTTCCCAGCACTGCCTGTCTGCCTGCCTCCCTCCCTCCTTCCCTTCCTCCCTTCTCTCTTTCTCCCTCTCTCTTCTACTGGGGACTGAAGCCAGGGCCTTGCATTGAGCTACATTCCCAGCCCTTTTTTATTCTTTTTCTTGTTGTTCTTTTTGAGACAGGGTTTTGCTCTGTACTTCAGGCTGGCCTTTGACTCACTTTATAGCTGAGGCTGGCCTCAAACTCACAACAGTCCTCCTGCCTCAGCCTCCCCAATGTTGGGATTACAGGCATGAGCCACCATACCTGGCTTTTATTCTAATTTATTTTTTTTTTTAAATTTGAGACAGGGTCTCACTAAGTCATGAAGTTGCCCAAACTTGCAAAACTGCCTGATTCTCCCAGAGTGCTGGAATTACAGGGATGTGCCACCACACCCAAGTTCGTTTCATTTCAGTTTCCTTTCATTTCTGTGTAATAAACTCCTAAATGGTATGGGGGACACAAAGGCAGCTCCTATTCTGGAGAAGCTCCCAGCTAAAGACTGGAGATGGACCTGTAGCCCCTCAGATTATAAGGTGCTGGTGGAGATACCAATGCAGAAGAGAGAGTTTGGTGGAGAGAATTTCTCTGCTGTTTGCGGGGACAGGGGAAGATTTCAGAGGGCTTTAAGAGATGTTTCCTGGCTGTCAAGGAGAGAAGCTATTCCAGGGAGAGGGAACGCTCAGCCTGAATGCTCAAGGGGTAGCGTGTGGGGCAGTCTATGGGGAAAGGAAAGGCCTTGGGTACACACTAGAGAGCTTGGTCTTTGTCCTGTAGATGGAGGATTTAACACAGGGAGTTGCCACGGCTTTTAGGAAGACGACTCGTGCTAAGCAGCACAGAGGAAAGGGTGGCACTACCGGGCTGACATGGGCTAAAGAAGTGGCCTTCTGACCAGGGGCTTTTGGACCTGCCAGTTCTGTCCAGCCTGAACCTTGAAGGTCATAAGATAGCCACTATCCTTCTTCGTCCCTAGAAGTCCTTAGTACCTGGCCAAAGTCCCAGGGCTCTTCCTGGATGCAGTTAGCTGTGCCCAGGAAGATGAGGCCATTCTGGTCCAACACGTACTCCTCGCGCTGAGCCTCGTTGTGCAGAAATACAGCGTCCTCTGGCGGGAAGCAGGGGAGGACAAGGGCCTGAGGGGTTGCCAGGCCCACCGCCCAGTCCAGTTTGGGTTCCAGCCTCCCCAGCAGCTCTAGGCCTAATGCAGACTGAGGAGGAAGTCCCTTTTTACTGCCCCCGGGGGACCTGTGCTACAGCCCATGGGTCCAGCAGAGGCCGCTTTCAAGGTCAGCCAGGCAGACTGAGGAAGCCGCCCAAAAAAGCCTTGTGGTTCCCAGAGGTTTGCAGCCAGAGCCAAGAGAAATGGGCAGTGGCGCAGAGCACTTCCCTGTGACCCTGTTACGTCCTTCCCTCAGGTTCAACTTATGACCAAAAAAAATCTCAGAGACAAAACTATGAAGGGTAGGTTAATGCGAGTGAGCAGAGGTCAGGGGAGCACTGGCAAGCCAGGAGGGGAGGAAGCAGTGGGGAGCAGAAATGAAGTCCAGGCACTGGACCTCTGCCCCGAAGCTAGGGATCCGGTGGGCCTAGGATGCCCACGATCTCTCCCCGGTGCCCCTCCTGTGTCCTCATCCAAGGGTTCGTCAGTACCCAGGCAAAATAAATCCAGCCTTTGGCTCACATAAAGCCTGGATGCCTAGGTGGTTTCTCATGTGTTGTTGATAGCAGGTGGGGATTGGAGAACCCCACCCTGGACAAGAGAAGAAGGAGGAGTGGAAGAGGAGGAGGAGGAGGAGGAGGAAGAGGAAGAAGAGGAGGGTGAGGAGGAGCGTGCCTTGGGCTTCAGGTACCACAGTTAGGAACCTGGGTTACTTCCCCAGGTTTCCTCTGGTTTCCCAGCCCTGCCTTATAAGCAACCTCATTCAGGCAGGCAGTGAAACTCCTGCAAGGCAAAGGGCTGTGCACTTGTGGTCTGGCGTCTCAGATGGGAAAGCTGGGTGGAGCTGTGTTCCATTCTCCAAGTTGAAGGCTCAGGGAGCCCACAGGATTAAGGTGGGTGTGACAGATTTAAAAAGGAAAGACAGAATACAACCCTCAGAATACACAGGAATCTTCAGAATATACTGCCTTTTTGGGACCTACTTTGGACAAATTGACCAAGTCTACATGAAATAGCCTGAGCCAAGTCTGAGCTGAACTTTGCCAGAGGTGGCCCCGAATTAGGCGATAGAAGGTCACGGGGCCCCCGGGAGCCCACCATAGGCTGGCTGAACTATGAGGCTTGAGTTAGACAGGTCAGTGTGGTGAAGACCCTGTGATCTGTCTTAGCAGAACACACAGTAGGAGAAACAAACATTTACTATGGAGCTGATGGAGCTGAAGCTTGGAGACCCTTACTAAGGTGAACCCTTCCACAAGCAATGGAAAAACCTTGTATTTTTTAAAAAAAAGATCCTTTAAGTTATGTACACTTCTGGCCCCAGGAAACCCAAATGCACTCAGGGGCAGAACAGGAAAGACCAGAGAGACAGAGAAGCACCTTGTTCCTGCAGTCCTTTCCAGTTCTTGCCCCTATCCCACTGCAATCAGGGGAAGTTTTCCAGGTCATTGCAGTGAGTCTTAATTTCTTTGACCAACACAGGGCCACAGTTTGGTGGTGAGGCAAGTCTGTTCCCTCATCGGGAAGCCCTTCTGCCAGGGGTGACACCACAACAGGACCCCAGGTCTGAGGATGCACCTATGGGAACTGAATGCTGGAGCGGACCTGGGAGGGGCTGCTCACAGAGCGCCCCAGCTCCAGCACCACTGAGACCAGCCTAGGTCCAAACTCACCTCTGTTCCAGGGGTTAAAGAGCAGCGTGAACTGGCCCAGGAAGTGCTGCTTCTGGCCTAAGACCTGCAGCAGGAGCGAGTAGTGGCCAATGACAGCGTCCACGGGCGTGGTCACAGAGACGGTCCAGAAGCTGGCATCTCTTTCCTCCACCGCGGCCCTCCACCACTTTGGATCCCCCGGTCTGGAAACTGGGAATGTGGCTTGGGTCCTGCTGCTCTTGGAAGGCTGCTCTCCTGCAATTGTGCCGTGTTGAGTCCAGCATTAGGACTCCGAGCTCACAACTCAGGGTAATAAAGGCAGAGTATTATCAAGATGGAGGAGGTGAAAGTTGGTTTCGGAGGACAGGAAAGGGTGGTGCGAGAGCACAAGTTCTCAGTGCTTGTGGACCTGCATTTAGGACAGGTTCATAGTCTCTAAAATGGCAAAATAATAGTGCAGCCATCTGTCCGAATCCATGGAAGATGGGCTCCGGCACCCCACCGATACCCAAGCCCCAGGATAGTCAAGTCACTTGAATAATTACTTTTTTGTTTTTATTAGTCCCTGTTTGCAGTACGTAATAATTCTGTTCCTCACGGGGAGTGGGTGCAGGTACAGAGCACATCTTGATTCTCTTTACTTCTTCCGCCCTCTCCTTCCCTCTCCCTCCATCTCTTGGTTCTAAACTATTAAAATGCTTTTAAAAATGTGAATGCTGTGAAAATTGTCACTGGCCTGTATTGTTTACAGGACAAGAACAGGCAAAAGTCTTTATGTTCAGTACAGATGTGATTTATTTTCCAGAGAGCTCCCGTCTGTGGACGGTCGGCTCTGAGGGTGTGGAGCCCCTCGCTGTGCAGGGCGGACTGTGCTTGCTCTGTCGGCCAGTGTGGGGACCACTGGAGGTACTGCATGCAAAGTGCTGGGTTCACTATCTGATGCACGTGCAGATTGGATGAATAGTGACAATTAGATATTATATTTAGCCTCAATTAGAGTCCAGTCAGGCTTTTCTGGAAAGCTGATATTATTATCACTATCATTATTACCTTAGTACTAAAGATTGAACCCGGGGCCTTTACACTGAGCTATGTTCTCAGCCCCTGAAATTTTTTTCTTTATTTTGAGACAGTCTCTTGAAGTTTCTAAGTGGTCTAGACGGCGCTCAAACTTGTGACCTTCCTGCCACAGTCTCCCAGAGTGCTGCGATTATGGTGTGTGCTACTACATTAGACTTGGAAAGCTGATATTATATTTGCCACCAAAAGAAACCTGTTAGTGCTAATGCTGCTGAGCAGGTTGTGAGTCATAATAAATAATATTTATTATGCACACGATCTTGTCATGTTATCACAACAGCCCTCCCAGCTAGGCAGACTTCTTAAGGCCAGCCATAGAATGGGCCATTTGTCCCTTGGTTCCCTGCAGGGTGCTGGGGAGAGAGCCCCTCCCACCCTCGTCCTGTTGCCCAGAGTCTGGGCCTATGTCACTTACCAGTCTGTGCAATAAGGGCTACCTTCTTGAGGGCACGCAGGAACTTCTGGATGGGGGACTGGAAGTGCAGGGTGATGGTGAAGGACTGCCCCCTTCGTACAATGAGGCGCCGGGAGCTGATGGCCTGGGTGTGGTGCTCCTCATTATTCTTTGCAGCTTGCAAGTCACAGCTCTTGATACCCAGGTCTTTTTTGGAAAAGACAGAAATCATGGATAAATGTGAAACATAAGTAAAAGCAGAGATTCCAGGATCAGGGCGGGGTTCAAGTCTTTGGCTTCATTTACTTACTAGGTGTGCAACCTCAGGCAAGTAACTTCACTACTCTGAGCCCCCATTTCCTTCTCCATAAAATAACCATGCCCCTGCAGAGTCCTGGAGATGAGCTGATGTCACGCATATAATGCACTCAGCACAGTGTCAGGTACTTGTCCCATTAAATGAGACTATTGTTATTTTTATAGAGAACAATATTTATTCTCAGTGTTGACCTCCTTCTTGTCCAAATTCCAAGCAATGAATACCACCCAGATTTTACTCCTCTCCACTCATTTTTTTCTCTCTTAAAACACAGATAATTTTGAGAACTAGCTTCAGATCTCTGAGCCCAATTCTCTTGTTTTACAGGTGAGAGGTGTGAGGCCCAGGGTGTAGCCACCTCCCTGAGCTCCCGTGTGCTTTCTGGCCTGCAGGCTCACCAAACTCGAGGCACCGCTCAGCCCAGACCAACTTAACAAGGCCCCCGAGGTTTGTGACGTCTGTCACTCAATTCTTATATTACAGAGGGAGGAAATATCAGGAACAGAGAAATGTTAAAAGAAAATATATACACAGCAAGCCCAAGACAAGGCACAATACTGAAAACAATAAAGTTTAGTTACTTATCCAGTGAAGGGTTTGTGCACTTTTGCTCCTTTGCCAGCGCAAGGCCATCAGGAACCCTGGTCTGGAAGGCAGGCTACACCTTTGCCTAGACTCTGCGCTGGAGGGAGAAGCTACGGCTTTTACTTTCCCGCATTGGTAAGAAATGTGAGCCTGATAGCACTCCTTGCCCCAAAGTCCCTTGCAAATGCAAAATTCTCCTACTTCAAATCTCCTTGAGTTCTCAACATTTCTGCCACTTTCCTTCCCCTGCCCCCTCCCCCAGTTCTGGGGCTTGAACCCAGGGCCTTGTGTGTGCCAGGCAAGTGCTCCACCACTGAACTTCATCCCCAGCCCTCAAAGCTGCCAACCTTCCTGGCGTAGAGCTCAACAGGAGAGGGCAAGGGCAAAGACTGGAAGGAAGCAGCCACCTTCTCTACTTTTCCTTTCATCCGTGCCGAGGCTGATAGACGGTGCCAAAGAAATACACCTCGGGGACAGAACTGACAGTGCTGAATACAAAGAACCGTGAAAGCACCTCCTTGTCTGGTTCTAATGCCTCTGTGCGTCCCTTGTCCCTCTGTCCCTCTCAGCCACCAGGTGTTGCTCCAGCCATGAAAGTAGATAAAAAAGCCCCGGTGAGACTTCGACTTGTCGATGAAGGTCCGCAGCACTCACAAACCAGAAATGAATCCTCTCTGCTCCCTCAAACCAGGGCTGGGCCTGGGCTGCGCCTGCCTCCATCACCTGGTAGAGCTGCATGCACAGCGGGGCAGCGAGCAGCCGGAGGATGAGCCTGGGAACCCGACGCCACACACTGAGCGCAGTGTTACAGCCAGAGCCACGTGCTGGAGTTGGCTTGGAGTCTGGTTCTGTCTGGACGCTTCCCCTACCCTTCTCACCCGGTAGGTGCCCGCGTACTCATCCTCCAAGATCCGAAGCACCGGCCTCTGACACTTTCACTGTCTTCTCCAACACAGTCCCGTCCTGAGCTCACACTATTCTACTGCACGTTTTCCAGTGTTCACCCCATTTCATAGCCATAGCTGTGTCGCTCTCTGCTCACCGTGAGCTTTCTGAGAGGCAGAGGTTTGTTTGCTTCTTCATATCTGCATCCTCTGCCCAGCAGAGCGCTGAACACAATAACTACCCAGCCAGCTCCTTCATCAGTGAGAGGACAAGAACACTGAGTCAGCCCTAAGAGAGTCCTCAGCTGCCCACAGGGCCTCAGCCCACACCTGTCAGAGCCGGACGTGGTAGCACACACCAGTAATCCCAGCACCCAGGAGGCTGAGACAGGAGGATCACTGTGAGTTCAAGGCCAGCCTGAACCGCATAGGGAGACCCTATCTCAAAAACAAAAACCAAAACAAAACAAAAAGACCCTGAGATCTCTGCAACCTCCGGATCTACCCAGTTTCTTGTTTTACGGCTGCCTCTATCCCTGTTAGCTGGGCTTATTATCTTCTACTGCCCTTTCTTTCCTGTTGGGCTTTGGGCCATAGCACCCTCTTGCAGGGTGTTACTCATCTGTCTCACAGCTGTGCCCAGTCACATTACGGGGATCCTGGGGTAAAAATGTAGATCTGTGTTACCCACCATCTCCACGACTGTGACCACCTGTCTACCTCCACGGCCTGCCCATTGCCACGCTGCCGTCCCGTGCCCTGTGACAGCTGGCTGTGCTCACCTGGCCCCATAGCTGCAGGTGCTCTTAGCCTCTTGAGCGCAGGAAAAGCCTGTCCTGAGCTGTTGCTTCTGGACTCCCTCTTCGAATCTTTACCCAGACAGAAAGTTATGGAACACTTCTCGGCTTAAGAATCTATGAAGAGCAAAATTTCTGTTGGCTTTGAGAGCCCTGACAGCTTTCTTCTCTCCTACTCCCTCCCTGCTGGTATCTCAGGAGCCAGCCGCTGGGAGTAACCCTCTTAAAAATTCTATCTTTTACTGCCAGGAGGCCCAGGCGAGGGTATGACTGTCAGGCCTGGGCGAGAGGTGGAAGGGAGAAGACCTCGGACTGGAAAACCTCTGAAGAAACCCCTAAAGCTGTCTCTTCAGCAGCCTCGAGAGACTCGCAGAGATGTTATCTGGGCAGCACAGGAAGACTCTGGGAGAAATGGCACCGCACACAGGTGTCCATGTCTGCCTCAGGCCCTGAGCGTATTAGAGGCTGCGCATCGCTAGACATTCATGGGCTGTGTTGAATGTAGAGGGAACACACGTGTCTGGAATTCATCTGTATCAAAGAGATAAGGGGGTAGAGTTTGTTGGTGAAAGATAAGTGTCCTAAAAGCTGGAGCCAGGGCGCCAGCCCTCCAGACTACCTTTTCTGGGACACTTTCCCGGAGAAGATCTTGGGTCTTTCAGTATCTCTGCACTTAGTCACTGAGGGTTCAAGAGCAGGAAAAAGGATCTGATGTCTGGGCCTCCTCGGTCTTTTGCCTGGCTTCTGAGGCACCCTAGGGAGCAGCTGTCCTTGCTGTGTGTGTTGAGGCACCTATGGAAGGTCATAAAATAAACTTCAAAAATCGCTGGTAGGCAGGGGAGCTGGAGTAAAAAGATTATTATTTTTTTTCCTGTTTCTTTTTTTATGGTTTAATTTCTTTTGCAGTGCCGGGGATGAAACCCGAGACTTTACACATGGTGTTTTTGTTGAGGAGACGTTTCCCTCTGTCCCTACACTGTGACTTATAATGTTCATATTAACTGAGGTTATCAGGTTTCTGTATGTGGCATGTCTTTAGCCTGCTCATTTCCCTTTCCCCTCCTCCTCCTTATTTTCTGTAGTTTTTCTCTTGGGCCACTTCCCTATTACAAGAGATCCATCTCCTAGTCCCCTTCTACCCATCCTTCATTATTTTCTTTGTACTCTGCCTCGCAAATGAGAGATACCATACAGTATTTAAGCTTGCGTATCTCATATAGTTTACTCAACATTTTTTCCAGGTGCATCCATTTTCCTACAAATGTCTAAAACCTGTCGTTCTTTATAGCAGAGAAGATTTCCATTCTACATTTTCTTTATCCGGTCAGCTGTTGGTGGGTATACAGCCTGTTTCCAGGGTTTAGCTATTACAAATTATGCTGCTATATGTATGTATGTTTGTATCACTGTAGTACGATGTCTTAAACTCTTTGGGGAAGATACCTAGCAAGGGAATTGCTGGGTTGTATGGAATTTCTAATTTCAGTTCTTTGAAAAGTCTCCATACTGATTTCCATAATGGTTGTACTAGTTTACATTTCCACCAGTAAAGAAGAAGGGCTCCTTTTTTTGCCACAGCCTTGCCACTATTTGTCATTGTTTGGTTTCTTAATGATTGCTATTCTTTCTAGAGAAAGATGGAACTTTAACGTTGTTTTGGTTTGCATTTCTCTAATGACCAGAGATGTTGAGCATTTTCTCATATATTTGTTGACCATTTGTATTTCTTCCTCTCTGAAGTATCTGTTCATTTCTCTTGCTCAGTTCTTGACTGGATCTTTACTTTTAGGTGGTTTAAGTTTTTGGAGTTTTTTGTGTATTCTAGATATTAGTCCTCTGTCTGAGAAGTAGCTGGCTTTTGCTATCTTTTTCCCATTCTATATGTTGTCTCTTCACTCTACTAATTGATTCTTTTGTTGTACAGAAGCTTTTTAGTCTGCTGTAATCTCATTTGTTGATTCTTGCTGTTATTTCTTGTGCAGTTGAGATTCTGTTTAGAAAATCCTTTCCTACACATATATTTTCAAGTGTTTTACTTTTTTATCTTCCAATAGGTTTAATTTTCCTAGCTTTCTTAAAAATATTTTTTATTAAAAGGATTTCACTATGAAGTTCAGGCTGGCCTTGAACTCACTTTGTAGTCCAAGCTGGCCTCAAACTCACAGCAATCCTCCTGCCTCAGCCTCCTGAGTGCTGGGATTACAGGTGTGTGCCACCATGTCCAGCATATTTCTGTTTCAGTGTTTAGATTTTTGATCCATTTTTATTTTTAGGTAGTACATGGTGAGAGATAAGGGTCTAGTTTCAGTCTTCTGGACATAGATAACCAGTTTTTCCATCACCTCTTGTTGAATAGGCTATCCATCCTCCAATATATGCTTTGAGCCCCTTTGTCAAAGATTCAATAGGTGAATGTGTCTGGGAAAGTTTCTGTATCCTCAACTCTGTGCTATTGATTCATGTGTCTGTTTTTATTCCAGTACCATGACTTTTTTTTAATCACTATTGCTCTGGAGTATAGCTTGAAGTCAGGTTCTGCTATGCCTTGAGCTTTGCTCTTGTTGCCCAAAATTGCTTTTGCCTGGGTCTCTTCTTGCTCCATATGAATTTTAGAATTGTTTTTTAAAAGATCTATAAGGTATGCTGGTGTTATTTTGATTAGAACAGCAATGAATCTATGTAACAGTTTTGAGTGTGTGGCCATTTGACAATATTGATTCTGCCTATCCAGGAGCAGGGGACAACTTTCCATTTTCTTTTTTTGTTTGTTTGTTTTTGTTTTTTTTGTCCAGTACCAGGGATTGAACTCACCACCTTGCGCTTGCCAGGCAGGTGCTGTGCTGCTGAGCTAAATCCCCAGCCTCCCAACTTTCCATTTTCTGATGCGCTTTTCAATCGCCTTTTTTCAGAGTACAGTAGTTTTTCTCTGTAGAGGTCTTTCACTTCCTTGGTTAGGTTAATTCCTAAGTATTTCATGTTACTTGAAGCTACTGTGAGTGCTATTATTTTAATAATTTCCTTCTTATCCTGTTCATTGTTGGTGTACACAAATGCTAATGATTTTTGCATGTTGATCTTATGCACTGCTACACTGCTGAAGTTCACCAAAACCAGCTAAAATGACAAAATCTTGCAGGGGAAAGAAAAGGCTGGCTGAAAGAACTGCTTTTCCCACTGAGAGCCCTGTACGTGGGAGCCACTGGGGAGATTGTGGACTGGTTCCCTGTTGGTGGCTTCTTCTACTTCTGGTACTAGCAGAGAGAATCTCCTCTTTTCTGGTACAGTTCCCGTGATAGTTTCACAAGTGTCCCGTCTCTGGCGCTATTTCCTTTGCGGCACTTCTGGGTAGCCCACAATGAGACAGATACTGTTGTATTTTGGTTTAGTGGGAGGTGTGAGGAGGATGGAAGGAGGGGTGCCGGGAAAGATGTGACCCAGTTCTGACGGTATCCACGCCTTTCAGCTCCCCAGCTTCCTGTTGGAGCAGCACCCCTCAGCTGGTGTGTCCTCAAGAAGGAGTCGTTTATTTATTCGTGAAACAAATGTCCACCAAGCACTATTGTGCTTGGTGGAATAGGTACTGATAGTACAGCAGTAGACTAAGACAGACGTGTCCCTGCCACCATGAGGCTCATAGTCCAGCAGGGGGAGACATAGCACTAAATTCCTGCAGTACTAGTTCACCTACGAAAGAAAGTCTGGGTAGGCTTCCAGAATGTTACGGTTTGTATCTAGATGTCCCCACAAAGAAAGCCTCATGTGGTCATAGGTGGGCCTTTTGGTGGGTGGCTGGACCTAGGGTGTTTGATGCTGGGTCAAGGATGTGATGCTGGGATTAAAGGTGTGAGTGCTACCTGCCCTAAGGGTGGGTAGCCTGGATAAAAATTTAACAGACTGAAAGAGTGCTGCTGTCATAGCTGGTTGTCACCTTCCCTTGTTATTTGCTGCCAAGCTGCAGTCTGCCTTCTGCCTTGCCCTGGACTGTTTCTCCGCTGTGATCCAGCCCTGCCGTGGAGCCAGCCAGCTAACTATGAACGAAACCTCTACGAACTGAGCTAAATAAACCTTGCCTCCATTTACTTTGGGTGTTGGATATTTTGTCTCAGCAGTGAAAAAAGTAACTAAGACACCGAGAGAGGGATATTTCAGCTGGAAGCTGGGAAGCTAAGCGGGGCTGCCGAGGCACTGGGCTGAGGGGTGGAGTGGAGCGGGAAGGAGAACAGGATGAGCAAATTGTAAACGCAGGGAGCAGCTAAGGATTAAACCCGCCAGTTTTGAGTTAAGTATTTTGAGTTTCATTCTCAGAGCAGTGAGAAGCCATTGAGTGATGTTTTAAGAAATGGGGCAACAAATCAGATTTGCATTTTAAATATACACTGGCTGAAATAGGGGAAATGCTTTACAGGAGAGAAAAGGGGAAGGAATTGGTGAGAAAGGGATTACTATAACAGTGCCAGGCAGAGGGGAGGGTGGCATGGTAGGGAGTGTTGTTGGTGGAGGAGGGCCTGGGTAGATTTGAAAAGTAATTGGCAAGACACATCAACGGAGAGGATAGGGAGGTCACAGGAGACAGGATGTTCAACAAGACCCCCAGGTTCAAATAAATTACTTATGTCACTGCATTGCTTTACTTTCACCTAGGTCTCTCGTAGTATCTGAATGTTAACCTTGTAAACCGTGTAAGGAATCATTTATTATAATTTTATTAGTGAGAAGACAGTTTCAAGGAGTAAACATCTCTTTTAATGACTAAATCAATTATTTTACTCCCAAACTCCAGAAAAAATATAAGAGCACAATGAATCAAGACATGTAGAAGACCACATTAAAATGCTGCAAACTGTGATAGACCAGAGCCCCAAAAGAGCCAAAGACAAGGCTGAAAAATGCACATAATCACCCTCTTGTGTACAGCAGTCCACACCCTGGCCATTTACCTCTAAGCCCCCAGGAATGACACTTTCCCAGTATCTCACACCTCATGGCAAAGCCTAGACTCCAACCAAGATCTTTCAACTTAATCCTACATATTCCATTTAAAATTAGCCTCCATCCAAACCACAGAGGCTCTCTATTCAGTCTTCTCACTGATTTTTGCATCTAGATTCAACAGATTAGCTTGTTACCCCA